GAAGTCTTCCATTCAAGACTGGCAAGCTGACCTTACTGTGGTTCACTGACTTTGGCCCATTTTTAACTATATCCTGCCTTATGTAGAATAAATGTATCAAATAGAGTTTGGTTTTTATTTTGATTAAATTTTTACATATAGAAGTGTTTGAATCTATCAGTAATATCAATAGCAGATTGAAACATCTTTTTACTCCCTTGATCATTTTACAAAATGGCAAATAAAGTATGGATTCCTAGTAAACAAGTCATTTATTCTTTATAGAATTATTGTGAACATGTGATAATTATTTTAGATTTATTATCCCCGCATCATAGCTTTTTTTTTTGTCAGCAATTATTGAACATTTGATAACAGAAAATTATATAGGTACTGTGTTTATCTTTATTGTTGGTGGATGAACCTGTAGAAAAATGGACTCATTATCAATGTGCTTTGTGTACCATTATAATCAGTCATAAATGGGTGATAACCTCTTTTCCAATTATCAGTTCTCAATTAGGTTTGCTATAAAGGCGCATGAAATAATTAACTTTCTTCATAGAATCTAATTGTGATGAAACTGACGTTGATTACAAAATCAGTATATTGGATTTATGATATTTTTCATATAACTGTTGAACATTTCATTCACAATGTCATGTTTCTTTTCATATTGTTAGAGTAACAAATATTAATATTTGAAACCTTATCCCTAGTTTGTTTGATTAGAGCACTATTAGTATTTTATATAATCAAGTTTTCTATTTCTGAGTATGGATATTGGCTATGATTGAAAAATAACGAGATTTGTACTGATATTTTGATATTTATATATTCAAATAAAATGGTTAAAATGTACTTTTACATGTGTGGTCAGTAAGTGCCTGAGACAAATCTCCAAACTACATTTATCTTGTTTTGTTAGTCCTAAATATGAGGACAATATACAGTCTTGAGGTTATCACGTCTCCTTAAACATTAGCTCAGGTATGGGGCCTTATGTTTTCTAGTATTATTATGTGCACGGACATATGTTTTATAGCTTAGGTCTGGAGGCGGTATGTTTACTTGTCTTTATTATGAGAGCAGCGGTTGCTTCAAGCTCAAGTCTGGGGTCTTAGTCTTCTAATGTAACTAAGTTGACAGAAGTTTTACAGCTCATATCTGTCCTAGTTTGGGAAGTTTTTTTGTCTTTATTATGAAGACAATCAGGTTCATTCATACAATAGAAAAACAAAGGATATGGGATATCCATCCATGACATAAAATAAGTTATGCACAGCAAAAAAACACACAAAAAGCAAAGGAACAGTGCTTTTATTGCTGTTCTTCATCTTAAAATCACAGTGACAGACTTCATCGTATTGTCTTTTATTGTAATTCATTTTAAATTTTGATCCAGTCTAATTATGTAGACATAATTTTTTGTCTTGATGGTTGTGTTGTCTTATTTTGGCATTGGTTGCTAAAGGTATTCTTGGGGAACCAATAAGCTCATGCCCTACAGCTAGATCAGTAATGGCCCCAAATGTGAAAGAAGCTAATTTAGCTTTTGTAACAGTAGTCATTATGATGTCCAAAAGTCACCTAACACCAATATTTTGTACTGAATATTGTTGATTGATTGGTGATTGCTTAGCATCCAGCAGCAATTATTTCATGCATATTCAGGATGAGATTGAATATTATACTTCATGTCAAAATGCCAGATTTTGATTGGTTAATACAAGGGAGACAATTTACTCTATCCCATGGCAAATACTCTATTACTCTCACGGAGACACTTGCTCAAGACTGTGCGCTTTAATAAATAAGGATGATTGTTATGTACAAGACGACATAGTTTATTACTTTGAATTTGAAATTTAATAGACAGTAAATAACAGAACATTCAGTATAATAAATTAAATAACACATATCTGAGAGGGTGATAGAGCAGATTGTTACCCCTCGAAAAGACATTGTCAACCTTGGCTTCGCCTCCTCAGTTGACAATGTTTTCTCCGTGTAACAATCTGCTCTATCACCCTCTCAGCTATGTGTTATTTATATATTGTACCATTATTCCAAAGAACAGTTACTGAAAGCAAAGAGAGCAAAATATTTTTTTCAAATAAAATTTGCCATACTTCTTTGTACCAAAATTCAGATGTTTAAATGCTATCACAAATAATGGAATCCTATGAAAATATATTCATGCTTTCTGCATTGTTCAATTATTATTTGGTGTAAATGTAAACTACAGGTTCATTTATTATTCTTCAACGTTTACAATAAAACAAATCAAGCAGTCTATATTTACATTGCAAAAAGGCATGTGTGATCCAAAATATTTAAATATCGCCTGTTGAGAAAAACAGCTTATCCCTGGATTAAGTATAATCTTCACCAGTTATGTCAATAAATTTCCTTGGATTTGAGGATATAAATTCACAAGTTTACATAAGAAGTCAGTTAATCATATCAGCCCTCATACAATCAGGGTCTATTGTTTGTTTGGAAAATCAGAACTAATCCTGTGGTGTGTCCACTTATTAATAGTTTAATTACATGTGAAGTAATTAATGGACTTTTGTTATCATCGTTGACTGTAGAGAATGCACATCAGAAAGATGTAAGTATCTTTTTAAATGTATCATAATAGGAGACTTATCATGATGCAACTTCACATGGTTAAATAAAATTGCATAAGCTTCATGAAAAACATATTTTCCATTTAACTTTCTTGAAATGTAGATTGTGTACTTAGCAAATCCCAATAGGGAAAGTGTCAGATTGGCATTAAACATATTGAATATGCGATTTCTCCTAGAATAAACGGTGTCAATATACAGATCTTGTCAAAATTGTTTTAATTGTGTCATAACTTGATTATCAACTAATTGGATTTACTGTTGATCTACTGTATTATATGAAAATTAACACTATTAAGAAAACATGCAAGTTATATTCTGATTTTAGAAAAGTTATTTACAAGGTAAAATATGAAAATCACTTCCATATTTATTATTTTTTTAATTCTTAGAAAGCATAGAGATTTTAACAAAAATTGATATGGAAGGTACATTTGTTTTGTATATTAATTGTGGATAAAAACCAATGAAATCTCAGAAATATAGATTTGATTTATTTTTTTTATTTCCCTCATTGTTCCCCAATCTACCCATATTTTTCCATACTGCATACTAATTAGTGGTGAAATTAGGAGAAAAATCAAAGCTTGCATTAATTAATTAGCTAATATCATGCAGAGACATGTAATGGAGAGTGCTAGGCCAGCACAAGGCCATGATATATAATATCCTTGGTGATAATTGGGACTGACCTAGAGGGGGTGTGTCCTCAGGGTTTCTTTAGTTATCAGCTGACTGTTGACAAGAGCACATCTATTAAGGGTATTCAGATAGATTATGACAGTGTGTTTGTGAAATATTAATAACTGGATTGTTTAGGATTTAGTCTTGGATTTGTAGTTTATTGGATTTTTCAATATTTTCGTGTTTTGACTCAAGGTATGGCTTAGATTATATTAAAAAGAAAAGTTGTGACATTGAATTGTCAAGCTGTTACACACGGCCCAATGGGAAAAATAGATGGATCAGTTATTTATTGAAAATATTTCATTATTACATGATATCAGGTAAGGATTTTCTTTTCCTAAAGGTGAGAAAAAGGACTTAGGTACTATGAAATAGACATTGACAGGTGCTTACAATATTTCTATGGGGTGTTCAAAATCCCTGGAATAATGCTTAACTGTGTAAATCACAGTTATACGTATGTGTCAAGATATTAAATACAACTACATAAATATTTTATTCACATCTATAAAACAGCAATTTTAAAACAAAATTATCAAAAGGACAGAAAAGCTTCCGAGTCTATGACGTATAACCCCTCCCTCGTTGATTATACCAGTATAGTAATGTATCTATCCATTAGTATTGACTTTCAAAGAATTTTGTGATACATAAATTCAATAACTATTTGTGGAAAATAGAAAGTTAACTGTCCCACCAAATGTTACAAATATATTCAGAAACAGATTTTCTTAAGAAATTTACGTCTCAGTTCACTGTATTAAGCTTTTCAATGTCACATATGTTCAGCTTACGTCTTCAAAGTTTATTTTTCGATGTTACTTGATTTGACTGTATATTCATTTGCAGTAAGTCTTTTAAACTTTGGTGACAATATTCTATGGAGTTTAAAATGCAACTTCTTGCTTGGTTTGAACTTTAAAAGACATTAGTGTGAGAGTTTTAAAAGATTTACATATTTTTATATACAACTAAGGGATAATTAAACATGTTAGTATATGTTGGTGGAGAAATTGATTGAATTCTGTATATTTACTAAGTGTCATTTTACAATGAAAAACATCATCTTTTCATTAAACTCGTAAAATTTATTTACATATGTTCTTCGCATAAGATAGAAATCTTATTTGAAATGCAACTCGGAAAATCTCAATATGAGCAGCATGTGTAGTATTTACAGCTAAATTGTACATAACCTCGGACATTTAAGGTTTTATTATTTTCAATAATTCATCAGATTTCTGTTTGTTGTAATTTCATTGTGCCTGTCATGGTACATATGTATTTCTTGTTGCAAGTTGAGGAAGGTTTTAATATTTTCAAGAATTCCTCGGATTATTTTTTGATGTATTTCCAGTGTGCCTGTCATGATATTTTTCTTGTTGCAAATTGAGGAAGGTTTTATTATTTGGAAGAATTCATCGGATTACTTTTTGTGGTATTAAATTCATTGTGCCTGTCATGTTTTTTTCTTGTTGCAAGGTGAAGTTTTATCAGCTTCAAGCCAATGAAATGTTGTGGATTAGCTAATACAACAGATAAGTAAATATAAAATAGCCAAGAATAGTTCCGAGATTGTGGAAGTGTGTCGCAGAGAAAAGATAAAACAAAAGCATGCTGCATTTTTTTTTCAGGAGAAACTACAATTTTGGAATTTATTCATGTAATATTGAAATGATAATTATTTTCTCTTTGCAGATAGCATTGTAGAACAGTGGAGACAGTAGTGTTACCAGTAGAAACAACCCTGTACGGACCATTAACCGTACCTATCCCCCCTTACTTTGTGTTGTGACATGGCCACAGATATTAACAACATGGTGCAGAATGACAATTCCCCACCCACGATGCTTACAGTCCGAATGATTATGCAGGGAAAGGTTAGTACTTACACAACTACCAGTCTTTGTCCATCTCTATAGTAAATGAAACTTGTTCTTGTACATTAAAAAAACTACTTGAAGTCACAGACTTGTTATATCAAATAGTTTATTACAAAACATGATGACAGGACATATGATTCATATATCAGTGGCATAATGGAATACATGCTAAAAGTGCCTTCTGTTAACATTTACACTGAAAGTAAAGAATTTAAAATTATCTCCCTTAATTTTATTGTTAATTGGTAAGTGGTGATTTCTTATTACTTTTTTCTTTCCATAGGGTTATAACACACTAATTTTATGTTTATGCCCCACCTATATTAGTGGGGGAGGGGGAGGCATTATGTTTTAGGGTTGGTCTGTGTGTATGTCTGTCAGTTCTACTTATCAGGTTATAGTTTTGGTTTTAAGGTATTTACCACAAAGTTGTGGTCAAATTAATTTGAAACTTTGAACACATATTCATTATAATGTGAACTTTTCATAAAACATCTTGTATATGGCGAATTAGGGTTTTGACCCAGATTTCACGGTTCACTAAACATGGAAATGTGATAGTGTGAGTAGGGCATGGTGTCCTTATAATGGACAAATAAGTTTTTAACAGGGTTGCATCTAAGATTGGACATGACTATTATAAAATTTGAATTAGTTCTAACTGTAATAAAGACAGTAAACCAACAGCCAATGATAGCCAGAAAAACAATATTACCAAACTATTAAGTTTTTAATGAAATCAAATTAGTCTTTACATTTACTTAGCAATAGCACACAGGTATATTACTTCTAAAAAACTGTCAAAAACTTTAATATTTAACAAAAACCTTTCCTCAATTACCAGAAATTATGTACTTCTTGGTATGTTAAATTTTTGTTGGTAGTTTGTGTTGTTGGCTTGCTGTCAGCATTTGTATTTAAATTTAGGCTTAGATTTTTTTGTCAATTATTTTTAAAAAATCAGTGTCAAGCTTTATAATATTTTTTGTCTTACCTACAAGACTTTTTCATGCTATTGTCAGCTTTAAAAGGAAATTATTCAAATGTTGAAATTGAACAGGGGGAGCAAAAGAAGAAAAAGCAATGACGAAAAGCAAGAATACACAGAAAGAGTCTGATACTGCCATTAGTATTATTTGCATCATTTAAGATATTGTAGAGGAATTTTACATAGATATATAAGTGCTTGTCATAATTAAGTTCATCTGTGATTTATGTGGTAAATTTAACACTGAAGGGGTTAATGCTTCATGCTGCATTCAGGGATTTTCTTATAGTTTTTTTTTATCTTGTCTAATTCATAATGGAGGTTTAATCTTGAGGGTATCTAAGGTTTGAGTCTATGATGATGCATATCTCAAGTTTGGAGCCATGATATTGTGGTATGTGAAGTTTGATTCTGCGATTGAGCAAATCTTAGGTTTGGGTGACAGAACATATCTGGGTGTGATATTTTGGGGTTTTCTTTGGTTTGTTACAGTTAAGTGAATCAGATGGCAATATCAAGGGTTACCTAATTATAGCAGAATCTTCAGTTATCTTAAGTTTTATTTTATTGGGGAGAATTTTGAAGGTTTGGTCTGCTATTATGCACATTGGTTAATATAAGGTATAAGGTATTTTGCATAGTTTGGGATACTTACTCTTGAATTGTTGTCTTTCCCTTGGATTTCCTGTTCTAGAATAATACTACATATTTTTAGAGTTCTGTTGAAAACATTATTTAAACGAAAAACTATTGCTGCAGTATTATGGTGTATGTAACAAAATCTTTCAACCATTTATTGACAAAAAAGAATTCCTGGAAAATTTTTAACAAAAAGTTATTTGTTTTCTTGTGAAAGTTGCATGTTGAATTGCACATTGTGCAAATCCCCAAAATTGAGGAAAGCAGTACCCTGTTAGAATACAAAAAAAGAAACCATGGGCACATTTTGCGATTATATGATGAATTTTTTTCAATTTGTAAGGTTTTTTTTCATGACGAGGGGTATTTGATCAGTTTCTGCAAAATCCTGTATAGGTTTCTTGTTTTTTATAAATAAGTTGTTCTGGAAGTCTTTGACAGCCCCCAAATAATCCCAACATTATATAATACTTTGAGCTATTATAGTACCGGTAATGTAAATCACTTTGATTATCTTGATGATTTATATTTTAAAAGAATCACCATCTTTCTGATTTCTTCATTAGTTTTTAAAGAAATGGTCATTAAAGGAATCTGTTGACAACAAAATTTCTTTTGTTAAGCTGTGATGGATAGACCTTAGTTTGAAACACATTCTGCTGTTCTTACTTTTTACTCGATAATGAATATGAATGGCCTCCAGATCAGATCTGATTTCTTGCTGCCATTTTGCAAAAGAACCAATGTTTCTGATAGAAACATTTCTCCCATTAATTTTTTCCCCATTGCCATATAACATGGAGACGATGCTTTGTGACAATTAAGTTACAAAATGTTACGAAGTTACCAGGATGCTAAAGGCCAAAGGAGGTTGTCTTTAATGATACTTTACAATATTAATGTTCTTTATTTGGATCTGATGTCTTTTTATTTCAAAATGTACATTTGGTTTTGTCATCAGCTGAATCCTTAGGGACTCCAGACTTTGGAATAGATTATCATGTCTACTTTTATGTGAAGGAATGACATGATAAAATAGGGATGCTATATGCCTATCCAGGGTACTCAAGAAATTCAAAAATAACTATCAAACCTTCTGAGTAAACATGGGAAATAATAGATTACAGCTATTAAACTGTGGACTTTGGGTATCAATTGGACTTTAATTTGTTATGAATAATCAGTGTTTGTTTATTTATAATCACAAACTTTACACATCTTATCAAAACATTTGAGATACTGGTAATCTATAGTCCAGGGTCAAATTGATAAATGGAAATTAGAAAAAAAAATAACTCTTGTGACAAAATTTTGTAATTTTAGGCCAATACAAACAAAACTGATATTTGGCTATAATAGCCTAAAATTACAAAAGACGGGATATATGAGTTACACTGAATACTGTTTTTTAAAATAAAAAAACGTTCTCTGGCCACTGAAATATTACTACAAAGAAAATAACATTGTGAATGAATTGCATTCTGAACTTATTGCTGGCAAAAGATGTAACTAATAGATATGAATTTCTGATATTGTTGTGTTATTTGGTGAATAAATGCATATAAGGAGATTTTTTTGTCAAAAAAGTCTAAATATAAAATCATTTACAAATATACAAATAACATGTTACTTTGTACAAGCATTTTTCACTAATTGGCTAATTGACAAGTAAACACTGTATTGCCTGAAGATTTTGACCCAGAACAATAAACCTAGGACAAATTCATGTCCAACATCTTTTTCATCATAAAGTTAATGTTCTAAAGTTCCTGTTTCAGGTTCCTATTTCAGCTAATATTTCTGAAAATCAATGAACTGAATTTAGCTGGCATTAATTTCCATTATCTTGGGCATCCTGCTAATTAAACTAGCATTGTTAAAAAAAGAAACGCTAAAGAAAAGCTTGATAATTACTTAACTTAAATCTAAACTCAGGTATTTTCCTGTTCTCATCTAAAGGGCTTGTATTGATTTCTTTAAAAAGTATTAGATGGAGTTGTCAAAATATAAATAAACAATACATTCTATCTTACAATTGTAGATTTAATAAGAGATGCTTTTTAATAAATCTTGATTTTACATATAATCTGATTAAATTAACATGAAATAAAAATTGCATTGGTTTATTGCAATTTTATTCAAATACCTTGCTGTTTCTAATTTAAAAATTACATCAGTGCACAAATTGACATGCCGAAAACTAAAAAAAATTGGCTCATGGGATGGTACTTGGAAAATAAAATAAGAAAAAAAAAATTGGAGCTGACTTCAATAGGAAACATGTTAAAATCAATCAACCCTGAACCAAGAATTATCACCAAATATTCCCCAGACTAATCACTGTCAAACACCTTGATTTTCTAATAAAGGTAAGAAGTCACCCTTGAGAATTTAGATAAATAATTTTCCATTGTTATGTCTGGAATACTTGTTAAATTGAAAAGCTGACTTTCTTCATACTGGTTTTTTATCAACTGATTTCTAGACACATGTAAGAATGAGTTTCAATTTTAGAATATGCTTGAACCATCATTAATGGAGTTCGTTGTTTGAGGAGGAGATTACTTATGTTTAGTGGATGATAGTTTTACTCTATAATTCCTTAACTGATTTCCAGGCTCATTTGTTTTGTTGAAAGCTGTTTGTTGATTCTATATGTCCTTAGGATTTTTATGTTGATGGGTTGCTGTGTGATTGACATCACAGTAACCCACAGTCTTCACGCTTAACCACAAGTCCTACGGCCCTGGCTTGTAAAATTGCTTTCAGGCTTGTAAAATTCTTCTCTACTAGCCAACAAAATCCAACTAAAATTTTTAAAAAACTGAGCTTCGGGCTTGTGGACTCAAAAGTCTATCGTGAAGGCTGAACCCATATCTCCTCGTTGATGGGTTGTTGTCATTGACATGTAACCCATATCTCCTCGAATGTATGAATGAATTTTGATTATCAAAAGTGCTTGACAGGTCTGTCCTGGTGAAGTGGGGTCCCAACTGCTGCACTATAGTGAAAAGAAAGATTTGGCACAAAGTTTTGCCTATTGTTCACTAAGAACTATTTTGAATTTGTAATTGTTTGTGGCTGAGAAGAGTTTATTGCTGTCTTGTTTTTTATCGTAATACATTTTGAAATCTGCACTATATATATATATCAACTGATTATTCAGGGGTTGAACAACAAAAGAATAATAAATAGAAAAAATATATCTTTATAAGATGTCTGCTGCAGGGCTTCCAAAATTTCCTGACGACAGCCGGACATTTTTCAAAGAAATATTTTTGACGGTCAATGATCAGCTGGATACTTAAATGTAACTGAGAGGATGCATAAATTGATATATGTGTCTAAATAATTAGTAGTGTTATATGCAATAAAATTATTTATAACTGTTTTGTTTTCTTCATTCTAAAAATAAATAAAATATTATCCTCGGTATTGTGTCATTTTTCTGTGTATCGTAATACAGTAACCATCATTGCATCAATCAGCTTCAGTACCTGACTGTTCTCATGTTTTTGTTTCTGTTTATATAATCTATCTTCTCTCTGTGAGTACTTAACACTTTGTAAATTAAGGCCATCTTATTTGAAACTGTTGATGTTGGCTTTAATTGCAGTACAACTTGATCATCAATACACGTGATACTTTTCTTTTTGTGTATTGATTACCTGACCACGTGACTTTTACAACTGATGCGGTATTTATAGATAACATTGAGGAGGCCCAATGAAGGATATTGTTTTAAACCGTGTAAAATCTACTGAACAGTGATAACATTTTTCTTTGTACAATTTCCCAACCTCCATGCTTTCCTATCATAACCGACGCACCGTCAGACCCCATGCCGAATATTTTAGACAAGTCTACACCAAATGACTTTAAATAGGCAATTATATGTGCAGTAATTGACACGGCGGTACCAGAAGACAAGTTCAAAAGTTTTGTAAAACTAATTTTCAGTTCACCAGCTTTGAGGTATGATAAGTACAAAATTAAATGTTTTTGCATAGCCAGATCAGTTGACTCGTCGATCATAATTCCCACGGCGGGACTTAACTTTACGTCGGACATCACCTCTTTCTCTATAACATTGGAAATTGTCTGAATAAATTCGGAGCAGTCATTGTTCTCTTGATATAATTTAGAAGTGATCACGGCACCATTTAACTTAGTTAAATCATTTATTGACTGAAATTGTCCATTGGTAAGTTTTCTTTAGCAATAAAGTAAGCATTACGGAACAAGGTGCACATTGCGTTGTCAGTCTTTTCATGAACTTTCTCAAATACTGATACAATTGGATTACTTTTGGAAGCTGTTTCTAATTTAAGAGCTTGAATGTGGTCATTGCTATTAGCATGCTCTACAACGGCTGACTTTCGAAAATTTGTCGAACCAGGCTTTACAAAGTTATTTTTAAGTTTATGTTTTTGACAAATGTCACAAAACATGGCATTTAGCATACTGTCAAATCTTAACCATAAAAACAGTTGTAACCATTTATGAATAAAGCTTCTAGCATTTTTAGCAGATTTCGAATTTTGATCGGAATCGTCACGTTTACGTTTGCCCATGATGGCAGATTTGTAAAGTTCAATTTGAGACAAAGTCTTTATAACAGTCGGAGATTGTCATGATTGGATATTATTCTTTATGATTTTAATTATAAAAACAGTTTTTAATATGAAAACAAGAATAGAGAACGCCCCCTTATTTATTGGACAACTCAGCTTGGTATACCCAAGCGAAGCTATTCTCTGTGTTTTTCCTATATATTTTAGTAAATTTTCCCCTTGAGAGTACCCCAGTATTTAACACGATGTACAGTGTTAAATAAAATAATATATATCATACTTATTCATTTATAAATATCCTTATTTGAAGAATAACTTTTAAATATCAGGATACTTTTTTAAACTGAATGCTCATTTAAAATAATATCTATAAAGCGTAATTAAATAGGATGTTGTTCCATACACGCTTACATGTTTGACCTCGTTTACCTTATTACCTTTATGTACATTGTTATGCATCATTAATTCTATTGATAAAGACAAGCTAAGGACACCTCATCAAAGGTAACAAACCTGTAATCAGTGAATGATTTATGGCTTCAATATAACTTATTGAAGGGATAATTGTTTGACAGCTTGTTGTTATTTAAATAAAAGAAAACGTGTTTTTTCTACTTTTTATTGATGTACACAAGCTAAAGACCAAGCCGTACATTTATGTACCCAGAGGATTAGACTAACTGAGACACTTCAAAGTATCTGAAATATGCTGCTTCTGTTTTATTAAACCCAATTATGACCGAAATATCTTTGTGAAATAGATTGCCACAATTATAAACTAAAATGCCCAAACGGACATGCCCAAAGCCCCAAACGGACATTTTTATCGATCGATAGTTGGTAAAAATTAAAATGACCGTTTCATGAAAATGCCTTGAATAACAAAATGTGGCACACCAATTCTATTTGACCGTTTGAGGCTGAGAGCAGCCGGTCTTTTTATGAAAGTTTCGGTCAAGTCCGGAATATATGACCGTTTTGGAAGCCCTGGTCTGCTGTATGTAAATATACTCCTGTGAGAGAGAACAATTCTTTCACAATTTTGAAGAGAATTTTACCTATGAATATAATGTTATTGATTACTGGGATTTATATCTTAATAAATTCAAAGATAGTTGAAAGAGAAAGGCTTAATCCTCAATATTGTTATTGTGGGGGCAACATATGTGTTTATATATTATAAAAACAACTTATTGACAAATCAATAAAGCAGTGTTGTGTGAGCTGAAATGAACATGATGTGATTTTGATTAATTAATTGTACCTGGTGTGCATCTCACAGGAACTATCAATTGGATTGCTGTTTTCTTATCTTTCTTATGATGTTTCGTTATATTTTCTGTTGTATTCACTGATGTTGCATACATGTCCTGAGATAATGCTGGCTTAAGCAGTTTTGACTAATACTGCTGGTCTTAAGATTTTTTTAACGATCTTTGTAACACTATCTTTTCATTTGTATTCATTCATTAAGAAGCTTTTGCTTAAAATATGAAGAATTATGATTTAATTTTGAACTAATCTTGCGGTGACAAATTGATTTGTACTAATAATATTTTATTTTTATTTTCAGGAAGTCGGCAGTATCATAGGAAAGGTATTTATAATAATGCATGTACTAGAGAAGCAAAAGATATTCACTATATGGTCACATATTAAAATTTTTGAAAGAATTAGGGTATATGTACGATAAGACAATTATACCATAAAATACTGGAAGAAAAAAATAGTATTCAAGAAAAAATGCATTGATAACTTTAAAATTTTTATATATGTATTCTGCTGCTAAAAAAGTTTTGCTCATTGTTGATGGCTGTACAGTGACCTATAGATGCTAACTTCTATGTCATTTGGTCTCCATTGGAAAGTTAATTCTCTCATTGGCAATCGTTCCATATCTTATTTTTATATAGCAAGTTATGAACTATTCATTTAATTACATTCAATTAATTTTAATTGTAAGATTTTTGTGAAAAGAGTCATTGGTCAATTATTGGTTTTCTTGGTTATCTTATTGTTATATGGATTTTTGCTTTTTATGTTGCGTCAGTGCTCTTACAGTCCCTTCATACATTGATGTAAACGTGATGATAGATGTCACATTAATTTTGACACATTTCGTCACATCTTTCTATCCTAAATGAATTATATTAAACCAGAATCAAATTACTTTTTGCACCAGACAATGCTTTACTAGAACTGGAATATACTTGTTGAATTAGCAATGATATTCTAAGATATATATTTCATTTGACGTAAATAGCTAGCCTGCAGATTGAATTATAGAAACCACCTGCTAGATTCCCAGAAATCAATGTCCTTTAAGCTGAATGGATCATTAATTAAGGAATCACAACCTGGACAAACACTTGTCTATGATAAGTGGTGCTTAGCCTCTTGTCATTGACTTTTCAGGTGTATATTTTCAATCAATATGAAATTGACATTTTGTTTCCAATTAATTTACCTGGATTGTAAGGGACCCTGCTGTTTTGTCAGTGATTTGGTTTTAATGGAGTCGTTTGAAGTGTCTGTTACAGAAAATGTATGCTTGAATAAAGGAATCGGGTTTCAGAGCTGATTACATTTAATTGTCAGTAGCTTATACTTAAATTAATAATCTATTTCTAAGTGAAGTACAAAAGGTGGTAGTCAACTTGTAAAGTACCTGATTTAACACCTTATTATATAAATATTATATGTTTGGGAGTATTGGATGGTTTGGTTCTTACATAAATTGACTCTTTGTACCGATTTAAGTTTGGAAGAGATTTTGTTCAGATCACTTTAAAGGAATTGCTGTTGTATTTTGTACCCCCTTAAAAAACGAATCATGAAACAGTAGAGTTAAAGATTAACAGAACTGTGTTTGAAGAATTGCAACCATCAAATCCCAAGTTGATGGTGGCAACTTTCAAAATAGTACTATTAATCTAATTCTAATGCAATACTAATAAAATGTTCAAAATAAAACATTAAAAAATGTTGTATGGTCAGGTTGTCTTTGCATATCTTTATTCTTAACAATACCCTGTAGGATTGACTCAATGCCACCAAGTCCACTACAAAGTTACCTCATTTCTGGTCATTCAGATGAAAATTTTACCATTTGAGTCCACAGTTAAGTCTTGATTTTCAGGTATTTTAGATTCTTCATTTAAATTAAAATCTGATTATTGAACAAATTAAAACACTCTCAATAGAACTAAGATTGAACTGTCCAGTTGCATATCATATGGATTAAGTTTGAAGATTTTTTCAACAACAAAATGTATGGTACAGTGACCTATAGTTGCTAGCTTATTGGTCATTTGGTCTCTGGTGGAGAGTTGTCTCTTCATCAATCATGGCATATATTCTTACTTTTATACTATCTAGACAGAACATATGATAGCTGCACACGGACATAGTCAGTGTACATAGTTCAGGCATTTTTACAACAACAAAAAAAACTATCTAGTCGACACAGCTGTACTGGGACATAGTCAGTTTATAAAATGCCAAATTTTCTTTTTCAGAAAGGAGATAATATAAAGAAATTCAGGGAAGATGTAAGTAAATTGTTTAACTAGTAAAATATGTTTATCTTCTTAATTTGAGAACAATTAAATTTTGTAAAAAAAATGTCTGGCCATTATATCATCATTTAGTAAATTTACAGTTTTCTAAAAGCTAAGAACAAAGAACAGAAAATGCATTTTTTCTCCAATTTAAGAATTTGTTAAATGTTTGACATTAAAAGCAGGTGGGTAAAAAACGTCAATAATGAAAACTAAGAGTGATAATGTGACATTAAAGTACGATATATCGAAACAAAATGGGCAAAATGATTGGTAATAAGAATTAAAACAGCAATAATAGTCACTTTTGATTATGTGATTTCAGAGAGTTTACCTATTTCACATCATTATAACATAATGAACAGGATGAATAAAAAAATATAATTAGCAATATAGAATAAGTAGAAAATAACTTAATCGTGTTATATTGTTAAGGGAAAACTACTTTTAGAGATTTTTCAGTTTACATTGAGATAGAAAAAAGGAAATGGAATATTAAGTATTTTTTCAAGTAATTTATCGTTAATTATTACCCTTTTCTTTGTAGAGTGGTGCTAAAATAAACATATCGGATGGATCTTGTCCAGAACGTATTGTCACAGTAACAGGAACTACAGATTGTATAAATAAAGCATTCACATTTATTTGTAAAAAGTTTGAAGAGGTGAGGTTCTCTTTTGTGAGTTGTCTCCCATATTGTTGTATCCTGTAACTTAAAGAAAAAACATGTTTAAGACCAAGATTTTACTTACACGAGGCTGAGGAATGATTGCAAAAAATGAGGTAAAGGGGATTGGAGTTTTGGTACATCTTTCTTCCTTTGTACATTTTTCCTAAAGTCCAACTCCTCAATTTGAACCTTTCTGCTTGCATACTCCCACAAATTTTAAAACTTAAAAAGGTATGAAAAAAAGACAAGAAAAAGGTTATGCTAAGATATGGTTGGACAGTATAGTACAATTCTGTGAAGTTTTATTATGTGCCTCGTAAGAGTTAATTGGAAATAAGTTGTATAACACTTACTTCACGTTAACCTGCTGTTGACAACACATAATTATAATTTATAAAATTTGTTTCGTTTTTAATCTTGTCACCTGGTTATGGCCTTCAACAATGAGAAAAACTCATATTGTTTAAATCTGATGATGGTAACAAAAGCTCTAACGTGATACACAAATAGTTGGTTATGAAATGAATATCAAGAGGAATTTCTTTTTTAAAAGCAGTCATTTTGGTTGGTGTGTGTAATTGCCTGCACATTAAGTGGCAGAACCATTTTCATATCTAACAACATTTAACAAACATTTAGATACAACAAAAAGGACACAGCAATTTAAGAGAAAAGAGAATACATGTTTAAAATGAATTTTATGTCTGTAAAAAAATGAAAAATGGGGTTTGAATGGTCAGTGCATGCTTTTTAACCTCCTTCCACCATTTTGTTTGTAGTCCAATACATGCATTTAGGATGAGTTATTTTTGTTAGAGTTCATATTTTAATTTTGATAAATATTTTATTGTATAGTTCTTGAATGCTAAAGAATGAATAAGTAATGTTTCAACATTTTTTTAACTTTACTTAATTTTTGTCTAATATATGTCAGAAAAATGAACAGTTAAAATAATTACATATGTAAGAAATATTTAAATTGCAATTTTACAATACTGTTAATTAATGTGTTTGTTAGTAATTGGTCATCTTTGAATTCCATATTTGCCATACAGCTTCCACTATCCATCTATTCAATACATGCATATAGATCATTATTCTGGTTATTAGGACCACAATCCATTACTTACACACATACACTATCTTATTATTTCCATACCTTTACCATTATGGTACATTGTATGTTTTAATCTTTTAAAGTGGTCATGAGTTCCTTTGTGATACCATTATACCATATTTGGAAGAAGAAAAAAATGTGTAATATTCAAGCATTTTATCTTGTATGGTTAAAATAAACGACAAAGATTTTGTTTTATCAATTGTTAAATTAAAAACTTTCTTCAAGATGTTTTACAGGCTTGTTTCATTGGAAAACATATGTATCCATACAATAGTGTAGTCTCTGCTTATCTTCAATAGAGGTCAAATCATCTCAAAGGTTTAAACAATTGTAAATGACTGCTCCCTTATGAAAAAAGGTTTTTAAATGCTTGCTTTTTTTTTTTTTTTTAAATAAAAAATTGAAAGAGTTTACATGGTATCACAAGTTACAATATTGACCTCTTTAGATATTGTGTACAATATAGTGCATGAGTAAAAAAAGACATATATTAGATCACGATTTACCATTAAATAAGTTTCAATATTGTATTGACAAACACTACATTATTCAGTTGAATTGGTCATCATATGAAATGAATGTTGACATTGTATGTTATTTGAGTGACATAAAAATGAATGTTGACATTGTATGTTATTTGAGTGACATAAAATGAATGTTGACATTGTATGTTATTTGAGTGACATAAAATGAATGTTGACATTGTATGTTATTTGAGTGACATAAAATGAGTACTATATTGTATTGTTTGTATTTTAGATTTTAGTTTCGTGCATGATTTGTGTTTTTGAAGCATGTGATTTATTGTGTGTCCCTTTTGTATTTTCCAGGATTTACAGAATGCCTTTGTTTTACAGGACTTACAGAATACACCAACAGTGCCTAAACCCCCCGTCACATTACGATTGGTTGTGCCCGCTAGTCAGTGTGGATCACTGATTGGCAAAGGTGGCTCCAAAATTAAGGAAATTAGGGAGGTAAGACTCCTGTCTTCAACATTTTTATTGTGAATTATTTAATTTATGTTGTGACTTTGTTTTTTGTTTTTTAAACAGGATTAAACTACACAAAAAAATAAATCATCTGGTGCAGATGCAGGTTAGGATAAAAAGGGAGAGGAAAAGAGTTGGTTTGCACATTTGTAGTATTAACATTTATTAACCAATGAATAGCAAGTATTTCTTTGGACAAGATTTAAGCTATTAGTAGTTTAAGTGCTTTGATTTTTTCTGGAATATTTTATTGAATTCTTTTGTTTTATGGTTGACACTGCTGGACTTAAGGATTTATTAGACAATAACAAATTAATTTACCACACAATGAAAACATAATCTAATTATTCATAGGGTTAAGTTGTAGCATTGGATTGGAGGAGAATGAATTAATATAATGGCAATATTATGACATTTTTTCCATCATGGTTCATTATGTGATTTTATTTCTTTCTATTATTATTGGTACATCACTTTATTAATTATGACCTCTCATAATTAAATCCAGAACACTAAGAGCAGGGAGGTCAAAAGAGCAGTTTATCGACTTAAGACCTAAGGATTTTGTATAATTTTTAATCCAGTAGACACAAGGCTCATTGGTAAATAATCCAAATCAAAACCTTTTTCAAGAGTTTAAGAGCCCCACCCTTTTTCAAGAACTGATCTGAAATGTAAAATCATCTATGTTCAAAAAGTGAAAGTCTTATTAGTTTGTTTTTGGTTGATGTCCTTTGTTTCTGGTTTTGTAAAAAATCAAACTGTTGGTTATCTCATTTTAATTGTTTGCACGGCATGGGTTTGCTCATTGTTCAAGGCCATAAGAAAAGGAATGATGATGAGTTTAAAAAAAAATGTCCTGTTCCTGTTTATTATTTGAAGAACAGGTGAAGTGGGAGAAATATTTAATCCCTAAAAAAATGCCCCTCCCCCCTTTTACAAAGGATTGATCTTGTGTGTCTTATGTTAAATTTGTAATGTTATCAAGGTATCAAAATCATAATTTTGGTAGAAAAATCTTAATTGGGCTAGAGAAAATGTGAAAATAGAGAAAAAGAGTCTTCATGCACTGAGTGTTAGCAATATAAGTATGATTATATTGCTATTATTTCTATGTAAGAAAGGTTTATGTTCTCCTGGACAAATAATGACAGACTAACTTAATTATCACATATGAAGGTCTTTGTCATTACCTGATTATTATTTTTGGCACCACCATTAAATTCTATAACACAAACCATGTGCTGTGTTGGCATAGATAGATCTGATGTGATCTGATGTGACATCAGGACATTCTCCACTAATTTTTTCCATTAAAGATGGTCACTTGGGTCCATCCAAGAATTACCTGAGATGGAAACAATGTATAGGAGCAACCATAAAACTCTAAATAATGACTTCCAGTATGAGTATGGTTGGGAGAACTTGGTTGATTGTAGATATGTGTTGTGCAGTGTCTATAATTTTCAAGGACATTTAGCTATGGTTGGGAGAATTTGATTGATTTTTGTAAATTTGTGATATGCTGTTTCTAAAGCTTTCAGGGAATTGACAACTATGTTTTGTGTTCTGTCATCATGTAGGATTTTAAAGAAATTTATTTGAAAAGTTCTCAGAAGTTTTAACTTCACTATTGCTTATTTGTGTCAAATTTGAAATGTATATGTTATGCATGTATAAATATATTAAATGTAAATTTGAATTATTTTGATTGTAGTAATTAAACTCCAATTTTCTACCATCAAATGACACCATGGCACCCTAATATCAAGGCACTTGTCCCTAGAGGGAGGAGAGGGCATACCCATTTTGAATTTCCTCTTCACAATATTTTTGACACTTAGTTTTGGGCTTATTTAATTACAAATCTTTCCTAACAGATGTAAATGTATACTACACAACATGAAAGTAACAGTAAGACAAATTAGCACCTCTATTGGAGACTACGAGACAGATAAGGCTTATCATTACAAATATTGGGGGTGTTGTCTAGATGATTTAGAAGATAGCTGAATCATATCTTTGTGATCAGTCTTATGAATGGAACATAACAAAGTGACTTGTTAAGATTACCATACCATGGCAGATACTATACACACTTATACAGAGAGTGTAATGAGTGCTCTTCTAACTCTCCATGATAAACCAACAGTGCTGAAAGTGAGTTAAACACCCAACAATCAATCAATATAATTCTCTATTTTGATGGAATACTGCAAAATTTCTTAAAATACATCTATGACATGGTTATTTTTTTTATTGTTAATGACATGTTTGAAGCACTGGTGTTGGTTGGTAGTTGGTTTACTTGGACTGATACTTTGGTGTATAGTATCTGTTTTATGACATGTTTGAAGCACTGGTGTTGGTTGGTAGTTGGTTTACTTGGACTGATACTTTGGTTTGGTGTATAGTATCTGTTTTATGACATGTTTGAAGCACTGGTGTTGGTTGGTAGTTGGTTTACTTGGACTGATACTTTGGTGTATAGTATCTGTTTTATGACATGTTTGAAGCACTGGTGTTGGTTGGTAGTTGGTTTACTTGGACTGATACTTTGGTGTATAGTATCTGTTTTATGACATGTTTGAAGCACTGATGTTGGTTGGAAGTTGGTTTACTTGGACTGATACTTTGGTGTATAGTATCTGTTTTATGACATGTTTGTAGGACTGGTGTTTGTTGGTAGTTGGTTTACTTGGAATTGAACCAAGCAAAGGCAGCAATTTTCCATGTCAAAGAATTTTATCCAAAAATGAGCAGACTAGAACATATAATTCATTGTGAAATTATCATTCTCTGTGAATTGTAGGGATTCTTAATAGACAATGGTTTCATAATGTATTAGGATAAGTAATTATAAGTCTGGGAAGCCTCATTGTCATGAATTATTGTAATTTTGGCTGATAGGTCTTATCAAATGTATGTTCTAATTACATCTATATGCTGCAGTTTTACCTGTTAGAGTTATAGTCTACTAATCACTTGTTACATTAATGTGCATTTTTTTATTACATATAGTAGTAAAGTATTACAAAAACCGATAAAGGCAATTATCCGTTAGTAGTGGGTATTTAAATAAGTTGAAGAAATGGATTTCAAGGAATAAAGCATATAACTTATTTGGATGTTTTGGAATAAGAAATTATAGTATAATTACAACTGTCAATTTTGTTTTAATGGTCTTTAAGGCAGAACAAAAATATTTTTTTTTGTATTTTGTAATTCTTAAATGCAGTGTTCGGTTTCCTCCTAAGTTGTAAAAGATTTAAAAAAACTTCTTGGTATATGGTTTATTTTAGAAGGGCTAAAGGATGGGTGAACGTGAAATAGCTGTCAAATCACAGATCAAATATTAAGGACTGGTCTTTTTATTGCTGTGCCTCATCTTGACTGTTGTTGGAAGGTGATAAATGAAAAGCTAAAAAACTGCTATAAGGACCTATGTCCTTTGGTCTGTGGTTGACAGTAATTGACAATCATACCACATATTCTTTTTTATATGGCAATTGTTTTCTATTCGTTTGATGTGTTTGAGCTTTTGATTTTGCCATTTGATAAGGGACTTTCCGATTTGAATTTTCCTTGGAGTTCAGTATTTTTGTTATTTTACTTTTTTTTTATACTGATACTTTAAGTTTTACATAAACAAAAATAGAGAATTTCCAACCATTAGGAATATCTTTATGCAATCTCGTCAGCAAAAATGATACTTTTAGAAAAAGTGTAACCTCTGATGGCTTGCTTAGTGATTTAATGACTTAAATTATGTCATTTTGCTTGTGAGCATCAGGCATTGCCTAAGTGGAGACATGTGTTGTTAATTTACAAAATTATTTAATGATCAGATGTGAGGGTGTTAGATTCCTTGCTTATGGATCTGTCATACATTTGGCAGAGAACATTGCCAATGTGTATTTATAGGACGGCTAATATTTTGATGGACTCCCTCAAATATAAACCTATTAATGAATGCAATATGCCTATCATCTTGTCATGTTTTTGTTAGCACATTGTAGTAATTATTATAACTTGTTGTGTACACTTAATAATTAGGGTCTGTATTCACTTTGGGCGCTGAAAAAATAAACAGGGTCAAAACAAATAAAAGTATGTCAATGGAATTTACAATAATGCAAACATATTTGACTTGAGTTTATGTTAAGGATGTTATACTCATAAAGGTCTTTATGATTCCGAAAGTGTTGTGATTAAGCTGCTTTTACTTTCTGTTTCCTTTGTATAAGCTGTTTCTTAAGAGGTAAAAATATCTTCCTTTCACTTTGTTCTGTAGGGTTAAGTTGGTAGTAACACTTTTTATAACAAGTATTAAAACGTGCAGTTTTGTGGATTCCTTTGGGTTGAATGATGTCTTATGGTATAAGCATGTCTGTCTTTGAGTGTGGTCATTGGATGTCAGGCTCTTTGAATGATAGGTTGTGTATAATCGTACAACTGTTAAACAAAAGTGGCCGAAATATTAGAGCTGATCTTTTTGGACTTGATTCAGGATGATTACAAGCCATTTTGATTTGTTTAGATATTTTTTTAATTTAGATAGGTTTTGACTAAAATATGAAGAAAATAGTTTTATTTTATAGTTATACATGTAGAAGTATGCTATTATTTTCTAGCTATACATGTAGAAGTATGCTTTTATTTTATAGCTATACATGTAGAAGTATGCTATTATTTTATATCTATATCCTAGTGTTATTGGTTCTCGATAGTGTAACAAACTTTTCCCCGTAGAGCCAGTTCTTCAAATAAATGTGGTCAAAGTTGATTGTGTTAATTTAGTAGATACTTGTATTTATTTCCCCTTATCCTCACGATTTTCTCCTGCATAAATCAAGAAAAATCAAAACATCTGTTGTTGTGCTCAATTTTGACATTGTGTGCAATACGTCATCAGCTCTCGATAGTTGTGAAAAGTATAGTATGGTATGCATGTTTAATATTAATAGAGGATTTAAAATTACGCAAATTGAAGAAAAATATCAATTAAGTATCATTTGTCTCTAGAAACAAATAATTTTTTATGAATTTTGCCTTATCGATCAATTTAGGCATCTTTAACAGATATCCTAGGAATTATCACTAAAGGGAAAAAATTTGCATTGAATATTAATCTTAATATATTTTATATAGTTTTGAATTATTGAACTAATTCTCATATGTTATAAGAAGTTGTCACAGCTGTTATTAATATTTTACTGTCACAGTAACAATATTTAAGGGCATTACTTTTTCGATAATTGAATTGAATTAGATTTAAAAGTTCATAAGATATTGCCCAAACTGCGTTCCATAGATTTTTTTCCTTAGCGACGTCACACCACATCTAACAGTTGTGTATTACGTATGTGGACTTGACCTTCTTTTCGAGCTAAGTTTTGTTTACATTTAAAAACGTGCTATTTATGAACCAAGGGGATGAAGTTGGGGTAGTTTTGGGAATAAGGAAAAGTTGGTTAAAATCGGAAAATATTATTTCTACTGTTGTACCATGTCTGAAAATTTGAAATGGTGAAATAATTGCTTGCTTGAAGTGAATTTTTGTTCTGTCCTTGAAATCCCGACAAATAGAAAACATGTGCGATTTGCGAAATACATCTATTTTAACCATGCGCATTGTTATCGATAACTGATTACTATCGAGAACAGATGACTACACGATACATGAAGAAGTATGCGACAGAAAATTTTCTCTCAAGTGTTACTGAGCTGTTATATGATATTGTCCTTACAAAGTAGATCCTGTTGCCTTTTAGGACTCCCAACCTTGAACCTTAACATAAAAGCCCTATGTTTAGTGGATTTCAACAATTTTTCATATAGAACAATACTCTTCATGAAAGTCTGTACTATAAAAACAAACATGAAAAAAAAACATACTTAATCTTGAAAAAAAACATACTTAATCTTGAAAAAAAACATACTTAATCTTGGAAAAAAAAACATATCTAATCTTGAAAAAAACATACTTAATCTTGAAAAAAAACATACTTAATCCTGAAAAAAAACATACTTAATCTGAAAAAAAACATACTTAATCTTGATAAAAAGAAACATACTTAATCTTGGAAAAAAAAAACATACTTAATCTTGAAAAAAAAACATACTTAATCTTCTTTTTAAGCAAGCAACAATCAATTCATCAAATTCAATTTCCCTTTACAGACAACGGGCGCACAGATACAGGTAGCATCGGAAATGTTGCCGAATTCCACAGAGCGAGCAGTGACTGTGTCGGGCACAGCAGACGCCATTACAGCCTGTATACAGAATATCTGTAACATCATGTTAGAGGTACGTGTGTTTATGTTGTGTCATGTAGACGCTTACTGTGTATTCAACAAACATTTATAAACAATTTCAATATCTTCTAAAAGAGTTTCTGAATTTCGAAGGGCAGGAGTTCACAATTGTTTCTTTAAGTTAATGTCACAGACTTAAATGTTTTAATTTCACTTTTCAATATTCAATGGAAAGCTTTGATAAAGTTTTGAAGAATTATTGTTCAGGCAAACTGTATATTTACAGTGGTTTTTTTTTTCAGAATTGAATTATTTTAGATCATTATCTAATATTTAAAGGTTATAGACACATTTTTGAACCCTGTAGTATTAAATCTTAATTCAAATTGTTCCTGATTATTACTAAGGAAAAGTTAGCTGTGCAAATATTATATATAAGTATGGAAAAAACTGTCACGTTTTGAAGAAAGTATGTAAATGATTGGTCAGTCAGGATAAGAGACAAACCATGTAAATTTCTCCTTATTGTCTTATTCGGTATACTAAAATAATGAGAATTGCTAAGTCATTCGAACATAATGATAGTTTGCTAATTAGAAGAAAAAATTTGTGTTAAATTAACCGAAAAAATAAAAAGTTGTTTCTAATCTTTCTATAATCATGATAAAGCAGTTAACATCTGAGCCGTACTTGCAACAAATACCTTCAAGCCTTGCAGCTAAACAAAATGAAGCAAAAGATATAAAATCACTGTAATTTCTAGTAAGCTTGATTCTTTATATAAATTAAAGATTTTAGGATTAAAAAGAAAACGTAGAGTATTGACATTCTGCAAAAAGGCTTTTATTGATCCAAGTTCTAACGGAAAAAATATAGAAGTAGTCGGAAGTTCATAATGTGTATATTTCTTTCTAAATAAAATAGCAATTTTTTTGTATTTTCAAGATTCAAGGATTGAAATTGTATCCTCTTTTTTAAAATTGGCCCTGCACACTATTTATTTTTATCAAAAGAAGAATATTTTTCTTAATTAAATTTATAAACAAATATTTTGAAATATTGAAATGTCAGTTTAGGGATTGTTTCTTTGACTAGGATTTATTTGTTTTATGTGTTCATATTTAAGGACGCCTTTCTTCAAGTACAAAATGTATTAATTTTAACAGTTAATGACCCAAATTTTAACACTTCTCATTATCAAAAAGTGAATTTTAACTATTTGCTTATTGCTTAGCTTAAAACTATACATTTCCATCAAGAAATGAAATGATCATTTAAAATCTCAGCTTTGATTCAAAGTTTTACCAATGAAGGTTTCAGTAAAATAAAAAAAAGAATAATGATTTTATTTATCTGGCAAGAATAACTTAATGTTTAACTACAGGCTTATTCATTATATTCCATTTATTACATCCAATATATTTTTTAGGAAAAACAGGCATTCTTATATAGTTAGGCATGTTAATAATTGATAAAGTATATAACGCTGCAATTAGTGGCATGAATTAACAAAAAATGCCCATTTTCACTAGCAACTTGTGCTGAAAACTTTAAATGACATTCTTTTAATTATGAAATTCATACATACTGAAAATTTGAATTTTTTTATTTGATCTTTAATTTTTTGGAAAACAAATTTCATTGTCAAATTTTTTTTTTTTTTTTTTTTAGTTATTAGAAGGAAAAAATAACTGTCGAACGGAATCATTTTTCAATCTATTTATATATTGATAAAGATCATATTAAAGCACAAGTTTGAGAAAAATGGTGCAGGATTATTTAACGTGTTTAATATTCAGTATAATCTCAGATAAACACATTTTCTCTGTAAATTTTTCCAGCAGTCAAACTCGGGATTAATAAATGCCTGTCTCCCTCAATGTTTCCATGGTTATTGCTTAATTCCTTGACTTAATTTAGTACCGAAACTTGTAGCTATAACTACTTCCTGTCGATGTTACCTTTAACCTTTGGTTCCTTTCCTCTTTCCTCTGCAGTCCCCTCCCAAGGGAGCAACAATCCAATACCGTCCAAAACCCGTTGTCCCTCCAGTAATCTTCACTGGGGGTCAGGCATATACAGTTCCGGGTGGGCAGATACCGATGACAATACCAGAGGTAAGTACAATTTATCGCTATAGTAACCTAACTGAATCTTGAATCATATATGTCTGGTTTTTCAAAATTTTATTTATTATAACGAAAAAAAATTATGAAAATCATACATATTGAAAATTTTGTTTGTTTCATTTTGTGCTTATTTTTTTTTGAAAATGAATTCCATTGCCAAATTTATTTCATTTTCATTAAAAATTATACAAACTTTTTTCAAAATCTTGGTCATTTTAAGACTGTGTGGTTTGGTCTATTGTATGAAATTGAAACATATATAATTTAAGACTTCAGTACTTTTAACTGATATACATGATATAGATTGATATATTTTTCTCAAGACTGTTTGAAGATTTTTAGTATTTTTGAAGTTAAAACTTTTTTTAATTGAAAAACAGACACCAAAAATTCTAAAAAAACATAATGGTCTGTTTAAGATAAATATTCTGTGAAAAGTTTAAAAAAACAATTCAGGAAAAAGGTCATCTAAAAATGTCTTCATTGTGTTTTCACAAAAGAAAAATGATGCTTGAGAAAAATATCTTACATGTATGTTATAATACAATTGTCTTTTTTAAAAACCTTAGCTTTATCTTGCCCTTGTGACAATAATGGCAAGGTGTTGTGAACTAATGCTTCAAGTCAAACATACCCCTATATATAGAGAGCTGTTTTGTAGCCTGTAGCTATGTGTTGTATATAATAACTGCATTATAACATCAAACAATTATTATACAGTTTTTCCAAAAAGACGGTTGATTTGTGAAAAATAGTGAAATAATTGACTTATAACATGATTATACTACAGTTTGATCTGTTGATGGTTACCCAGTTGACAACTGCTCAATTAAAATTGTAAATCAATTGTGTAACGTGGACATGCAGTAGGAAATCATGTTTTTCAATGGGTTAAAGGGGGGATGCATTTTGACTATTCATTTTACAAAATGATAAATCCATCTACCTTTGAGGTGCCATACAAGGTGTTTGCTCTGTAAATGCAATACAATTATGTAATCTGGATAGTTGTTGTAAAGGTAATCATCTCATGTACACAAAAAAAATCTTCATTGATGCAAAAATAATCTACATTTCATGAAACTAATTACATGAAGATAATTTTTCCTTAATAATAGTTTTATAATTATGATGTGAAAATGTACTATGGAAACACCATGACAACAACAACATGATTCACATAGATATTAAGATTAAGAATTTTATGCAAAAGATGTACTGATTTGAATTCCAAATGTATAAGGAGTTGTCATGAAGAGGTCTATTTGAGTTGGCAGAGATACTGAAGCACTATACCAAAAAATAGGACTGCAGCCATACAAGTATTCTGTATGAAGTTTTGTATAAAGATGTTGGGCATATAATGTCTTGTCCATTAATCTTATTGTAGAAGAAAAAAAGCAAGAGTAAAAGAAGTTTCTTTCATAATTTTTTTGCTAGGATGAAATTTGAAAAAAAGCAGGACAGGAGTTTTGAGTAAAAAAGGCAGGATGACAATTTATTTTAAAAAAAGTCAGGATAAACTAATTAAAAAGAAAGGCAGGACCAAATAGAGTGAAAAGAAAAAGGCAGGACAGAGATTAAAACCAAAAAAAATATACAGGACAAAATTTTTCATCCTAGCCCCCCCCCCCCATAAAATCAAATGGTCACACTAAGCTCCCTTACTGCATATATGATTGTTAACACGTTGTTAAGTGCATATCTTTTCATTACTAAAATATTGAGTGCTGAAATATTCCACCAGCAGCCTTTTGTCATTTAAAAAAAAAACCTGATATACAAGGAAACAGAACTGAGCAAAATAATAGTGAAACAGTTAACATAGATTTTGAAGGATATTAACCTTATCTATTAAGACTGATGATAACAAAGAGAGAGCTTTTCATTACTCTGAACAAAATATCCTGTAAATCCTGCTTGGTTCATATAATGAATCCTGCTTATATGGAATATAAAGTGCGTGAAATTAAATCCCTTACGATCGGTACTAATCCATCGGCTTTCCTGTTTTGTACTGCATTATTTCTATTTGCTATCAGTCTGTAGGCAGACGTTTTCTGTCTTTTTTTTATCCAGAGGTATTATTTTTATAACAACACAACGCCACTGTCGACATCACATTTTATAAGCGGATTAGATATTGAAGGATTAGACATTTCTCACGTTTGTAGAGGACAATTGAACCTTAGCAAGTTTTGTATACAATTTGACGAAAGAAGTACATGACATTTTGTTAGTTTGATGTTGACAATTGGTCAGATCTGAGATTTCCTGAGTGGAAAGAATCTAAATATAAAAGAAAGGAGTTCTGGTATGATTTCAAATGAGACAATTTTCTACCATGTTTACATGATAAAAGCATTGAAACAAAAATTTTACAGTTTTCCGGAAAAAAACACCAAGTTTGGCTATTATCAGATGGTTACATTAGAAGTTTAAAATAGCCTTCACATTAAACATATCTTTAGAAAAAATGACTTTTTCTCAGCAACAACCAGCCAATCTTGTATTACTTCTTTAAAAATAAATCAAAATCAAAATGAAATCAAACATTATGCAGGATCTAAATTTCAAGCATACATATATATAACTATAGTTAGTGTTTTATAGTCCTTAAAACATGAAATCACTGTTTTAAGTTTGAAATATCTTTAAAGCAATGTTAACCTTTTCATGACAATCAGGATTTTTCATGACAATAAACATTAGCCTTTAGGATGCTTTTTTTTCTCATAACTTTGATCCACTAGTGGAAAGAAAACAATATTAATATAATATCTACCTACACAATCAGATATATTCAAAATGAGATATATATATAATGGATAATGATCGATTTTTTTTTTTATAATATTAAAAAAAAAAATTAATTTGCATTCCTTCCTTTTATGACATTTCTACAAAGAAAATATCATTGTCATCGTAGGGATTATCGTTTGCTTCAGAAGATATTAGTCTTGGAAGCATTTGAATGTCAAACTTTATGTACCTTATATTATTTGCCTGTCATCATCAAAGCGGAATAAGAAAAATGAGTTATCATTATAGAGTCAGTATTCAAGTTCACATGAAATCATAAGTTAATAATTTTGACAAGGTAGAAATGATACAGTACATAGAAGATAATGGCCTTTTATTATGTGCTTATTAAGTCTTAATGTTGTTCAGGTAAGTATAAACAAATCTCCGTTTAATAAATGTCAAGGAGACAGCAGCCCACCATTTAAAAGACCTGTTATGTTGTGGTAATACGAATTGTGAGTTTTTATTTTAATTTATAAAAATCAAAAACAAATTATAAAAGATCAAAGGAACTTTCCCAATATATGAGGTGAAAATGCAAATTTCACCTAAATTGTAGGACAGTTAACTATTAAAATAAGACAAAGAGAAGATAATCTTCACTGTATAGTCTTCATCAGTGATTGAATTCCCATATACCTTATACAGTGCAGTTTGATGGTGATAAACTATTTATTAATTAGTAGTCGAATATTACATTTGTATAATGACATGTAGTCCTCTGTTGTTGTACTAACTTTCATTCTTTCATATATATGTACCACAAAAAATAGTATACCGTAAAATTTGTACTGCATTGTATTACCAGAACTTTATTACTAGGTGAAGTATGCAACCTGCTATATGTTGGGGAGATTACAATGTCCACATACTTACACTGTGTTAAGAGAGGTAAAAGATACCGAATGTATATTCAAACTCATTAGTCAAAAAACAAACTGACAAACGCCATGGAAATTTTTTTTCTGTATTTTATGAAAAGGTTATCAATTCTGGGTAGAGAAAATGTATAAATTCTACCCCTTGTTTTAAATAGCATGTCTTTTATATTGTTAATGATGAAAAGTGATCACATTTTTGTTCTCTTTAAGAAGGTTAACCTGCAGTTTTCTTACAAATTAGAAATTTTATGTTATTGAAAAGATGATATCTAAGGATTCCATATTTGATTTCCATAGCAATACCAAAACCCAACTGATATACAATCTTAGACTCTGCCTTAACCAGTGACAGTATGATCTCCTTAATCTATAGCAGAGCTTGCACACTTCTGTTTTGACAGATGTTACTATGACAACAACAGTATGTTAAGCCTTTTACAGAAGTCACTATGGCACCAACAGTATGCCTAGTCTTTAACAGATATGTTGTATTGAATTTATATATATATTTCAGATGAACAAATTACATCAGATATCATTACAGCAGGGTATTCCAATAATTCCAACATCACAACCTTTACTTCCAAGTGAGTGTGTTACAATAATTCACGGTTGAATCTAGGATTGAACCTTTTGGTACATGCCCCTCAAAAGTTTACAAATATTTGGACAAAGAATGCACACAATGAGAGCATATTATTCTCCTCTGTGGACTTTATGGAATTCATAGTTTTTAAGTCCAAACAATTTCATCTTAATTTTACAAGACAAAGGGATTGACCTGGGTTTTTTTTTTTGGCCAAAATCCTAGATACAATCCTTATATTCATTTCACTAACCTGAGGTAAAGATGATCAAACTATAGGTAAAATGAACTGAACACATCATAAAATACTTAAAAATCATAGCGATGTTAAAAAACAGTACTACCATTTTATCGACTTTTGAAGAATTCTGAATTTTTATATGAATGATATGATGAAATGTGCAAAGAACATTAGGATTTTGGTTTTTGCATCTTAGAGAAAAGAGGGAAAAAATTTATGTACCAAACTTCATAACATAATAAGACAATCCAATGTCCATACATACTTGCTACAATTTGAAAATAATCTCTTCAAATGATCTGCATTTGGAGCAATTGGCAACTATCTTGACCTATTTCACACCTATATTTACAGCATGCCAAGTCCCTTGGTACCAGGGAACAACTAATGATTTTATCTGTAATCAAAAGAAAGCAAACTATGTCATAACAGACAGAAGCAAGTAGATTCTATTCTTTGTTTTGATGAAAAACAGTAAATAAATGAACACAATGCATCGTATTTCAATCACAAACTGAAAAAGAATTACATCTATAACATTTCTTAGACTTTGGTCAAACAACATGATTATTGAAATACTAAATATTTTGTAAAGGTGATACCACCATCTGTTTTTCTGATAAATAGAAACAGAACAGATGTTTAGAGAGGCTACACATTGTGTTTGGGGTACTGAGGATTCATGGTTATTCGTGGGTTACCAGCCAAGAACAAATATTCTACTGGCTTATATATAGGCTTTGACAAAATCAAATGTCCACGAAAGTACACAATATCCTCAATCAACGAAAATTGGTACCCACGAAAATACAAAATATCTTCAATCAACGAAAATTGGTACCCACGAAAATAAATGAATCCACAGTAAATTACTAGCTGATTGAAAGAAAATAATGGACCTGGTATCCACTGCAACATACGGTGTTCTAGATAGAGTATCCAAAAAACAAAACTGAAAATAACAAAGCAGAATATATGTATCCCATATAATTTGCAGAAATATTACGATTATTTCATGTTTAAATTTGAACTTTCAGTGCATCATGCTCCTGGTATACCAGTTGCATACAGACATGCCAGTCCGGCAGCTATTCCACAGAATACACAACAGACACATGAGATCTCCATACCAAATGACTTAATAGGGTGTATTATTGGCAGAGGTGGTCAGAAAATTAATGAAATCAGGTAATTAAAAATAGATAAAATGCTCATTATTGGCAAAAGTACAAATTACAATATGGTAAAGAAACTGGTTTATTACATTGGTAGCAATGAATTACATTGATTTCCCAGTCAAATAAAAACCGATAATTTCACATGTGAAATAAACGTGGTTATTTCACTCTCTGACATCATACAACAATAGGCGTTGTCAAGACGTCGATAACGTCGGATCAAAACAAATTGTGAATGCGTAGAAAAAAGATATAGTTCCTTACATTTTCTACATTAATTTCATTAAAAAAAGCCATTTGCCAATGTAATAAAAAGAATAACTAATCAAAGAATTCAAATATCGAAAAATATTCAACTCGTGACCGAACAACACTGATAATTAACTCATGCGCTACGCGCATTCGTGAATTAATGTGTTGTTCGGTCACTCCTTGAATATTTTCCTCTAGAAAGGCTTGTATAGTTTGCACTGGTACATAGTCCACACCCCCTTCTCCCCACGAAATTTTAGGTAAAAAAACTTTTTGTAACTGTTAAAAAAGGTCTAATGAAACTCCAGTAATTTCAAATCCTGTGCGGTCGTTTGCGGTATTTTCTTGGAAAAACCTGTTTTCCATCATCAAACAGAAGCTGAAACTGCTTGTAATGATTCTAGAACGCTTCATGATTGTTAAAATAAGTTTAATTCACTTAAAAAACAATTTAGAAACTTGTGTATGTTTAAACAGGAAGTTTAAAAAGCACGTGTAAAAGAAGAAATTAACCGGTGAAAGTCGAAATCCGTACATAACAGATATCACTATAATACGACTTTGAAAGTAAAACAGTTCCATCCTTTTGTAAAACAGTCTTTAATATATCTATCACATTAATGTTTGAAGGGTCTTAAGCTAATACAAACCATATTAGTCAGTATGAAACACCAAAACGGAACGAACAATAACCGATTACGTTTTGTAGTTTACAAATTCTAAGCTGGTTTACGGTTGTCTTTTTCACTATGTTTGTATCGTTTCAATCAAGCAGATACCAGTTTATTTCAACCAATGCATTGAAAAGAAACGAGAAATTTGTAATGAAAGGTTTAGTTTTTATATTTATCAGTATTAATTTGATATTGAATAGAAATAACTTATTAATATGGATGAGTTAAAATTATTAGTTTGAAAAATGATAAGAGCGCCCTCTACAATATAAATAACAAAGATGGCGGAACGTAAACAAACCACCTCGCCCGCGAAATTGAAATTTTTCTCTTATTTCTTGCTTATTGTACTCTATAGTCCGCACCCCGTCTGGAAGGTCCAATTTTGGAGAATAAAACTGCGGATTATACAAGCCTTTCTACGGTATTCTATAAATATTATCTCAATTAATTTCCAAAAAAGACACTTTTTATTAATCACCTGTCTAAGACGAGCTTAAAGGGGGAAGGGCATATCATGTGCTCATAGTGCAGCTTTTTATTCAATATAGTCATGTTGTTAACGTAAGAAGTAAAACATTTAATGGCATAATAGAAAGGTTAATTTCAACAGTCAGCCTCTATTTCATTTCAGACAAATGTCAGGTGCTATGATAAAAATTTCCAATGCAGAGGAAGGGTCCCCCGACCGTAAGGTGACAATTACTGGTACGATAGAAACCATTGGATTGGCACAGTATTTAATAAACACAAGGTTAGTATAACCAACATATTTGTCAGACAATGTGGGAGACCTCATTTATGAGTGAATTGACTATGGCATGAGTTATCAGGGAGCCTTAATTGTTTGTTAATTATAAACACCACCAGTATGATGAATCTTCCAGCAGGTACATAAAAGTCAATATAAAGAATTGTTTGTGCAGTTTTTTCTATTTTTAAAGAAAATGAGGTGTCTCACTTGCCTGTTTTTATAATTGAGCAATAAATTAAGTATCTTCATGTGAGAGTGCAGTAATCTACTAGACCTTTGACTTAGATAATAACACTTAATTTAAGATGAAAATAGTATGAATAATTCTATGTTTAATTTTTAATTTAATAAGCATGGTTTTATATTGCTTTAAATATAACAGTAGGGAGGAGTGTAATTTAGGCTTGGGGTAATTATCAGCTTAACTTTATAGTAAAACAGCAGTTACTTAATTTAAGTGTTCAATTATTATACCAAAAATCACAAACATTTTTAAATTCCCCTTCCAAAGATAATTTGGTTTAAAATGCCATTAGAAAATTGTTATTGTTGATAAATTTGAAAAAAAGAAAAGAAAAGAACAAAATAATTAACTGCTGTTGTTTAACCCAGATAAGATAATGTATTTATCTTTGGAAAGTTTTGTGGTATATAGATTATTTTGATATATATCATTATTTAAGACTATTCTGATGATTAGAAAGTATGACATTCTTTTAATGGTCTTTTTTCACCTTGGTTGGTGTTATTTGATTTTAAAAAATTCAGGCAAAACTGTTTTTGCTTTGCAGTATAATGTATGTCCAGCCTTGGTACTGATAGTGACAATATAACGGTAAATGAAATCCATCTTCCACAATCAATTGCCCCGTTTTTATACCATGTGTTCTTGTGCTTTATGGTCAATATTTATACACTTGAAGATTAAGATGCCTGGAATTTAAGATACCTGTAGGCATCTTAATCGTCTAACATTTTGAAGGGAGGTAACCCAGATCGTGTCTGATTGCCATAACTGCACTTAGTGATATCCTCTTTGTTATAAAATGTTATTTTTGTAATTTTCCTGTTTTCCTTCCCAGATAATTGTTGTAATTTGTGTCTAGAGAAGAGTTTTATATTTCATTATTAACATAGCATGTTTTTTGTAAAAAATCTTCCTAAATAACAGTATTTTGTCCTTTTTATACAATTCTTGGCTTTTTCTGCATGATATATTACTTGTTTCAACAGATATTTATAAAACTAAGCTCTGAAAATTGACATTATGCAGAAGTTAAAAAAAACTTAAATAATGTAAAAAAAAACTTGGAAAATCTTTCAATCTGATCGTGCTTCATTGATTTTTTTTATATACAACAACCAAAAATATTTTACAATCAAATGCTCAAATAGTTAATTGTCAAGAAATAGGTGTTGATCATTTTGCTGTTCAAATACTGATAAGTAAAGACATCTGAAATTTCTTTTATTACAGTTTAAAACTGCAAAAACCAGACCTATATATAAAGCACAGCAATTTGTTTGTTTTATTGTAAACTTTTTTCCCTATGGAATTTTTATCTACAGAATGAAAGTTAAAACTATTTATATCATTGATATGGGTTGCCTTCTGTAGGGTGGGGAGAGATCCAAACAATATTAGGCCAAGCGACATTTTTATATTGTAAGCAAAAACATGGTGTCTATTTTATGTTATTGCAAATCAACTAGGAATCATTGGTCAGAATTTATTTTTTAATTAATATCCAGCTAAATGTGCGTTAAGCAATAATCAATGAATCAAATGTTATCGCCATTCAAATTTATTCAAAATTCCACTTTTTTTTTTCTTCTGGTTATATGCTTCTTTTAACACTAACTTGATGACAAGGTGAACTAAGACTTTTATACTAGGGTACTGAACATGTACGTCAGATACTTTGTCTATTGTTTAATTTTTCTGATGTCGTATAATTTGATATTCAAAACTCTTAAGAATTTAAATTGCCACTGGACATTGAGAAATCAACAATTGATCTAAGAACTAAGCTTCTAGCTTCCATAAAAGAAAACACCACAGCCAAAACAGGAGATACAAGATTCAATTTTACTTCACAATTCCATTTACATGTTCTGGTGACTTGTAATGAATTATCTCCCTTTAGTGATTGTGTACCCCTTAAATCATGTAAATCTTTGGCAACTTAGTAGTTATATGCTAATTTCACTTTCAAAAGATTATTGTCGACTGAATTTTAACTTTCTTGATTTAAAAACAATGAGAATAACTAAAATGGGGCTGAAGTAGTTATAAATTCCATTATTATTATTATTTATATATATAGTTTTAGTTCACACTTTAAAAGTATTATTTGGCATTGTGTAAAATGTAGACATGTGCCTGGTTTGTGGATTTATTTTTATCCTGTTCTAATACAGATCCCTCCCTTTTCTTTTTTTCTCTGCAGCATGGAATTGCATAAGAATTTGACCCTTGACCCGACTACCTCGACTATCCCAACAACATCTGCATCACCCTTGACCTCTGTTGTTCAGTCCCCTCAGCAGCTGCAGGCCTCTCCGTATGCAATTACCTTGAATCAACTTGCCATGAACTCGATGAACTCGATGAACTCAATGAACATGAACGCTATGAATATGAACTCCATGAACATGAACATGAACATGAATGCCTTGAAACAAATGCCAGCAGTTCCATATCAACTGGGCCAGTATTTTGGGATGATAGATACAGTAGGACAGGCTCCTGTACAACAGAATAAAATGCGAGTCGGGGTGGCAGCAAATGCTATGTTGACTGAGAGGAAGAAAATAGCACCCTACTAACTGTCTTGTGTTGATTGTTATTGCACACAATCGGAGCACCTCACTCGATGGTTGTGCTTAACAGGAATAATTATACAGCTTTATATGGTATTTTTCATCAGAGAAGCTGACTTAAGTTCTTCTACTAAATGCCTTTTTTTCAAGGATCTCCTTGGTATGAAAGAATTTTTAAAAAGCAGCTTTGAATGCTGATAATTAGTTCAACCGGAAAGAAGTGAGCTGCTCCGTTTGTACATAGATGTGATGTGGTCACATGCTAGTCATGTGACCTATGTTACTTTGTCTCATTATTTATTTTGTTAAATTGTTTTCCTTTGAAATCATTATTGAATATGATAGATTCAAACGGAAATGTATCAGAGTTATTGATAATTGCTAAAATGTTTATTTTTGGTTAATACATTTACAGGTTTATTTTAGTTTGCCAAAAGTTTGTTTTTGATATGTATATATTTACACAATTAAATGTGCAGTATAACTATGAATTAAAGTAATTGTTAAAAACTTGTTAATTAGAAACATATCACCCTTGACTGATTCAAATTTTATATTTTCAATTTTGTGTATAAAAAAGACGAAAACAATTAGAAAAATAATCTATTTTTCTTATTTTATAAAATAAATCATAAATGTTGTGTTGGTGTTGTCAGCTTGAATCTTTTCACAATTCTTCAATGATTTCATTTTGTTGATTTTTTTTTGCCAAAAATTATGTATAAAGTCAGTAGGAGTAATATTTGACCTATGATTAGCCAGAATGAGTCCAATCAATGTTAACCTGCATGTATACAGACGTTTTAATAGTTGTTATATTCAATAAGCAGTTTCTTACAAATTCATGAAAATAATTTATTTTTTTGTATAAAAAAATGTACTGTTATGGCAATTTTAATATGAGTAAGCATGCTTTATTTAGATTTTCAGTTTGGTACCAGTTATGTCTTGTTTAACATTTAAATTCATTGAATTTAACATTTAAATTCATTGAATTATCTGATTTCTTACTCTTACAATAAGTTAATGAATTTGTGCATGATAGTGCTTTAAACTTTAGTATGAATAATGTTAAAAGTGCAATAGATTTTCTAATGGTGTTTAGTATATCTTGTGTAAAGTTGATTAAACACTCTTAAACACTAAAATGGCTACCAATTTGGGAAGATTACCCATAATGCTTTTCAATTTTACACAAGATGACACTTTCCAATCATTTGTGATATCCATTTTGTTTTATGTGCTCACAAATAAGATTATAATATGGTATCCAGCAGTATCACCAGTACTTTGATTTTTTACAGATATAAGTACCATAGAGTTATCTTTCTTTGATTTGGTCGAAGTAAGATTTATCATTAGTGATTACATGTATATGTTACATCTGGAATTGATATACTATTTAATCAGCGGTTGGCCAGTAGTAAAGGCCTATGACCTTTAGATATCATGACTGGTGGTACCACTGGATTACTGCATTACAATCTGACCATCAGTACTGTCATCTGGCACGTTTTATTTCACTAGAACATTTAGCACTTAGAAAAACTTGATACTCATAAAACTGATGATTATCAGTGCAGTTATGGTGTTATGTATGTATATTGAGGTATATAAGGTCATTCATTAGAAGGTTAACATTCCAAATGAAAAAAAATCATCCGTCAATTTTATCAGGGTAGCAGTGTATTTTTTTTTTTAATGCCATTTTGTTTGTTACAAGGGCATTTAGCCAGATTCTAAGTCATTTGTATTCCATATTTATATCTTTAGTCTTAACTTATATACAGGTTATTTGTCCATATCAGAAACAATTGATACTCTCGTTATAACATCCAGGTATGCTCCAAAATGCTGTGGATGGCATAATGCTAAATTTTCAATGAAAAATTTTAACATACTGAAATATCCAATTTTATGGGATAATGTTGCACTTTGCCATCAACAAGTGACACAATATAAGCATGTTTGCATATTATGATGAACAGTTCTTTACAAGAAAAAGTTAAATGGGCCAAATTTCAAGATATTTTTGATGCTTGTTAAAAACTGACATGAATATTCCCAAAAATCTGTTGGATAAGAAGTCCAATTCACATGTGATCAGTTAATGAAGCCTGGTCTATGAATTTATTTGGCCTTCTGCAGAATGTGATTAAAACTCCCAAAGGGATATAGAAAAATAGACTAAGTTCATATAATATTAGATACTGAATGGAAGGAAATCCTTATAAGATATTACCGATTAAGTTGATGTGAACAAAAAACTTGTACAATAAGGAAAGTAGTTCAGTTTATATATATATAGGTTAAGTTCATTGTTTTAACTTGATGCTTGCCAAATATTTCTTCCCCTCTGTGTTTGTTAATTGACAAGTATTTGCATAAATCCAAATGAAACAATTACTTGTTATCTTCACATAGTAGAAATTGTTCAGAATGATATGTGTGTTCTCTAGAGAGATCACATCAATACATTCAGTAGAAAAAATATTTTAGTTCATGTTCAATTTACACTTGATTTAAAGAACACAGAACCATTGGGTTAAATAAGAAAAACATTATTTAAAGTTTAATCAGTTTTGTAGTTGTCAATACTGGTATAACCTGATGTTAAAAATGAACCTAAAGGTACTATTGACAAATTTTCAAAAAATATATAATTCTCACAAAAAAATCAACTATTTTTTTCAAACACAAGTAAAGTTGACAAGTAATTGTTTAAGTAATATGTCTCAAGAAGTTGGATATAAATCCATACCCGATGCTCATTATATTTTGTTATATAAGATTTATGTATATTATTTAGTCCCAATATTTGCAATATTCCATTTTAAAACTTAAAACTTGTTTTGCATGAACATTGTATGACTCTTGAAAAGTATCAAGTTACAAAAATCTTGTCTCCTCATATGAAATTTAGATTTATATTGCTATAGATACCTCAAAAACAATGACCTGTTGTGTTGTTTTAATTCACTGTCTGCCAGTTTTGTTTTGAAACTTAAGGTATCAAGTCATGATAAAATGTAGATCAAATTACCCAATACCTTGAAAATAGGACATAAGTATACCAAGTCTTAGGCATATAAATTAAACAAGATTGGACTTTTTATATGATTTGAAAGTTAGAAAAGAAAATCTTCTCTTGCTGTAGTAATATCTTTGCATTTTGAACCTCTGTTCAAAGGCCACCTCTCTTGTAAGGTCAGTTATCTCTGGTTGCAAGAGTGACATTTATATACAGTTTGACTGTACTTTAATTGTATTTGTATTCTTTTTTCTAAGTTTGCTGAAAAACCAGAAATCCACTGAACTATCATAAATTTTGAACACTCAGCCTGGTCTATTTTGGTGATCATGTAATCAGTTATTCTGCAACATCTTTAAAATGTTCAAATCAATTTGAAAAAAAATCAGTTTTTCAATTCCATGAAATATGACTTCAAAAGAATTACACAGAGTATGAATCAGCTCTGAGCAGCAGATAGGCAATATACTGGAACCTACCAAACATTTGAAGCTTGTATAGAGTCATATATATGTTTTGAATTAACTTTAATTCCCTTTTTGAGTACCTCAGCTTTAGTGATTTGCATAATTGATTTGGTTGCAATATAAAGCATTATGTTTTTGCAATATTAATCACAGATTGTTGTGGGTTTGTCATAAACATAGAAATATATATATATAACTTGCATTTTATTTATATATAAAGTAACATATATCATAGATTTTGAATTTTATGTGCAGTATTTTTAAATGTTTAAAGTTTTGATTTTTTTTTTAAGTGTTTTGAAAATTGTTCAAATCAGAAAGCCAAATTTTGGTCACACTATTTTGAAGTTTTTTCTTGTATGAAATTCTACCCATGTGAGCTAGATCACAATTACAAAAAAAATCTGTAGCTGTGTAAAGGGCAATGGAAGCACAATTTCTCGATTATTTTGCATTTTCTTTGTTTGGTAAGTAAAAAGTATACAGTAAATTGTATGCAGAGTTCACAAATTCAATGCTTTTGTTCCTTCTAGAAAAATTTACCACTGCAAATGAGTAGTCCTTGCCATGACACTTTTTTGTTTGATCAAATGCAATTTGGAATGATTATTTAAAGAAAGCTTTCAGAAGGAACTTAAAAATTTTAAGTGCACTGGGGAGAATTGCTGCTTGGCAATAAATTGCCCCTCTTGCCACCAGAGTTTCACTTTAGGAACTCGGAACTGAATCAACAGTCAGTTCACAACAAACTTTTTAAAGCATATTATACCAAAATGAATCCTTTTCATAACAAAAGTTAAATTGAAAATCACCAAATTTGAAAAAATTCCATAGGCCCTTACATGTTAGTGACCTAGCAAACATGGGTTGATTCTTGTGTTGAGGTTGTACATAATTAATTCCATTGCCATATTTCTTGTCTTTGTGTGTATGTGGTATAGGTTGGTTAGTATAATTTTATTGCTTGGAAATGATGGCTTGTCTAAATGTCATTTTACTCTATATATTCCTTGAATATAATTGGGTGCTTTCAGTACTTAGTTCCTTCTAGTCTCTAAGTTTTCTGATAATCTTGGTTACTATTGATCTTTGGTTATACAAGAAGGTAATACACATCTTTTTACAAAAAGCTAATTGGATATTGGAAAATAAAGGGTTAGACATTGTTTATTTAATTTTCTAAACTTAAATCAACCCAAGATTATCATAAAATCCTATAGTGTTCTTTTGTTAACATAGATACCTCTTTTTTCAGTATTTTGATAACTTGACTTCCAACTTTAATGGCATTTATTTTTTTACAAGGGTAGTGAGTGCAATTTTGTAAAAAAAAATATTTTTAATGTTGATGGTTTGGTAGTTTATAAGTAGAAATTAGAGAGAGATTGTTGAAAATCCTGCCATTTATAAAAAAACATTTTAAGGGGTCAGACTCGGATAACCCCAGTTCATTGTCCTGCCATTTGTTGTGCATTGCCAAAATTTGTTGTGTTCGAAGTTGTTTTAACAGTTCTTCTATCTTGCAATCTTTAAACGTCTTCGTACTCTTCTATTTTTAGGATAACATCAGAGATGTGCGGAATGGGAATTCGTTAAATGTGGAGAGGACCATAGATTTTAATCGATGTTATCACTTGTTGTTTTTTTTTAAAAGACAATCAGCACTGAAAAAGTTGAGTGTCTGACTTGATTGGAAAAAAGACCAAAAGTTTTACAGAGTTGTCTTTCTTGAAATAGCATTTAGTTGATGTTTTTTTTTTCATGCCAAAAATATTTCAGTGAGGATCATTTACATAATTTTTTTCAGATTCAAACATAAATTAAATTTTTATAAATTTACAATCATATAATGGCTTGATTGTGAAGCCAGACTTGACATAGCCAAATTTAGGTTGTTATATAGTGCAATATTTGTCATATTTTCGTACTCAGTCAAATATTTGCACATTTTGTTTTTACTATTTATACAAATATTTACTGAGTTGGTCATTTATGGAAAACATTTATTTCATTTTGAAGCATACATCTATAAAAATTTTGGAAGTAAGTTATTTTGTTTATAAAGCATTCCTTTATGCTGACCTAAGCATTGTTTTCTCACTATAGATTCTCTGTGTATAGGGGATCATAGTTTGAAAAAAATTCCTTTAGATAATAGAAAACAAAACAGATATTTCTTGACAGTAAAATAAAATAAAATTCATGTTGAATTATGATCATAATTCATCAAGATTCAGAATCACAATAGAATGATAAACATTTTATTTTTTTGGAAAAAGTTAAAACTAGAAATTTTTTTAAGTGTATCAGAGTAGCAATGAAAACTGGTACTAAAAATACCATATCTCAGCTTCACAAAATGATGACAGCTAATGGCATATATATATTGTAATATTACGACTGTGATAAATATGTGTAATATGTGTACATTGTTATACAATCATCTATTGACAATGTGAAATGGAAAATTATTTTTATTTTGCAACAAAATATCCTTTCTAGGTCTTTTGTGGATCAAAAGTTTTGAAATTTGTTTCACTTTTAAGAATTCTCAATTGCTGTAGGTCCTGCATAGAGATGTACTAAGGGATGACTCAAATCTGCAAAATGTTTTCTTTTTCATATTCAAAATACCCTTTTGCAGAATATAGAATTGTAATTGGATTTTGAGGTCCTTATTAATTAAACCAAAAATTGGATCAACATAAACATATCAAATGATTGATTTAAGTTATTGAATTACTTCAATTGTAGACAGACAATTTATGTCAGAAGCAATCCCTTATACAGTGAAATCTGTCAAAACTCAACACCTTTACACCTAAAGATTTTGATCCAGATTAGACATGTATTTTATTCATACAGGTTTAAAATATGAATGAATATTCATTGCTCGTCTTTGTACAAGAGTGGTGTTTTGACAGTTTTTACTGCTAACTAAAGTATATATTCTCAATGACAAACATTACACCATTTGTTTTACATAAAGACTGACATGTTATTATACAGTTCAAGTAATGGATATCAAAGGTCTAGTTTAAGAGTACATCAAAATGTCTGCCTAAAATGAGGGTACTTCAATAGCAAACGTAACAATCCTTTATTTTTAATCATTTGATTTTTATGATAAACGTTTTGTAGTATTTTTAACAGTTTATGTTTAATAAATGATGAAAATGCACTTTTGATATGTTGATGAAAGATATACTCATAGTTCTCAATCCCCACGTAATTAGCATTTTCTAGACAATTTTTTCTGGTTCAGTTCTAAACATAGAGATTTGTTACCTTTAACAGGTATAGGTTACTATTTTGTTTATGGGGTACATCAAGGGATTATTGTGTACGGGGTATGTTGGGGATTTATTATTGGGTATATTTTTTGTTTTGTGTTCTTTTGACATATTGTATATAACTGTTGAATCTTGTATATTGAATTGATTTGTTGTTTTTTTTTTTTTGTAGAAATCTACGTAATTTTATATAATTTCTGAACCCATTTATTGACATTCATCCTTTGATTGAAATTGGGGGAAATTTATAATCTCCGCAGCCACATGATAAATTTTGATAAAAATTTTAAATTTTTAAAGCAGAAATGCAGCCAGGTTGTAAGATCATTTTCATATCTAATGATGTCATTTTAATTTCATTCTTTTACTAGAGAAGAAAATTAAAATATTTTCCCATTTACAAAAATATGTCCTTTAATCTTTTGAGAAGTAAGAAAACTAATGGTATTTTAGTGTTTTCACTTTCCCATGTGACTGTACTTATAAAGAGTGATCGTTATGAATGTTTATAAATGGGACCAGAGAGATTTTTTACATGTGAAAATGTGTGAAGTGAAATCGGACTGTTTTCCAAAAGGGTAATTATCATCATAACTATTTATCATTTATTTATTATTATCATGATGAAAAGTCATTAAAAAGGTGCTGCACCTCTTAAGATTTATTTATTGTTTGTTATTTATTTGTTAGAACCACGGTATAAAAAGTAGACTAGCATGAGGAAAAGGAGACTTGGGGTTAAATCACGATAAGATAGCAAGCCAACAACAACATAAAACAAACACAATATCTAGAAGTCAATGATAGGCAAGTTTTTGTATTAATCAAGCTGTTAAGTGGCCTAGATCAAGGCAAGTTATGGATTCTACCAAACATCTGTTGACAACATTTTAGAAGATTCATGGTCTTTGATAATTACATGTATAAAAATAAAGAGATGTCTTATGATTTCCATGAAATGAGACAATCTATCCTCCAAATACTGAAGGACAAGGATGTAAACAAGTACAGGTTCAGTACAGCCTTCAACAATGAGCAAAATCCATACCTGGCACACCCTTTTGTGGAAAAAATTTGGTTGATTATTTAGGGAATCACTGAAGCATGACTGGAGCGGGCCCCACTTATGAAAATTTCTGGATCAGCCAGTAAATCTTCAACTCATCTCAAACAACATGCCATATATCAAGCCAACTTGAACAGATTCTGCCAACAATCCAACAGTTTGAGTATGGTTCAGATGAAGCACAGGTCTCTTGTTCATAGCAAACCCCCTAGCACTGCTCAAGCAAGCGGCCAAACTTTAAAATAATATTTTGAAAGAAAATTGTCCTTAATATGCATGAAATATATGCCACTTGACGTTCAGCAAATGATCAATTTACAGGAACTGAAGTGCACCTACTGTTTTCAGTTATTATATCCATTATCTTTGAGTGGGGCTATATCACCTGGTATGTCTGATCGTTCGTCCAACAAACATTTCGTCACTTTCACAAAAACTAATGGACAGAATGGCTTCGATTTTTGTCTGTTACTTGACTGTGATGAGTTGTAGCGTGTCAGCTGTTTTCGGATCAGTCAGATGCATACTTCCTATTTCCTGATACTTTGAAACTTTCAATATGTTGAAAGAACTTGAATATTCTTCACAGATTTCTCTCCGTATACTATTGAACAGAATGTCATCGTATTTAGTCATCTATTCAACCGTGATGAGACATAACATGTATGCGCTATCATGCGCTCATTGCGCAGCTGTTTATTAGATTTGATAGACACGTACCTCCTGTATTCCGATAATTTGACATACCTGGTTTTTTTTACTATTTTGTTTGTTGCTTTGCTAAGGAAAAAGCCATTTGGATAAAAAAATGTTAGGAAGTTAGAACCTTAGTGTCTTAATAATTTTTAGATTGGTGAATGGGGAATTTTAAAAAAGTATATTACATAAATCATGATAGTACAGAAGCACTGACTACTGAGCTGATGCTGAGACTACTATTATATAGTAGTCGCAGGCTGGTCATATCCTCGTGAATACTCGCATCTTAGTTAGGACTTTGGAAAATTCGTTGCCGTTAAATTCTGAGTAAAATCTATTTTATAAAGAAAGGGTTTTTGTCGAGCCTGCGACTTTTGTCACAGAAAGCTTGACATAGGGATAGTGTTCTGCAGCGGTGGTGGCGGCAGCGGGGTTAACTTACTTCTTAAAAGCTTAATATTTCAGAAGGTAGAAGACCTGGATGCTTCATACTTTATATATAGATGACTTATGATATGAAGTTTCCGTCTGTCATATCATCCATTGTCCTTGACCTCATTTTCATGATTCAGTGACTACTATGTTAATTTCTCTCTTATTATGAGTAATAGGATAACTATATTTAGTATGTGCGTACATTGCAAGGTCCTCATGCCGGTCAGATAGTTTTCACTTGACCTCAACCTCATTTAACCATTTACAAGCATTTAATGGTTATGAAATACATCAAAATGTTACAATCTCAAAATACACACGAGTACATTAAGTCAAAATTGTAAGACTTTCCAAAAAAAAAAAAAGGATCTGCAAAAGTGTGGATACTTTGTAATTGGGTCCAAACTTAGTCCTTCCTCTCAACGGAAATATGTGAATATTTTTTTTTTCAAATTTACACTTGCTTTGAGCAAAGCCGTTGATCTGAGTTCTATATCCTGCTTGAAATTATCAGACTGAGACTGGTATCCAAAATTCTAAATGAAAAAAACCTCACTATAATCATGGAAAATATAAGACTAGCTTGGCAAAAACGAAATGAAAGACATGTGTTAATTGATCAAAAACTTCAGATTATTAAAATGTAATGGAAAAATATCATTTGTGTACGGTAATGGATGTCTATAATACTATGTAGTTACTTTGTTTCTTTTGTGTTTTTTTTTTTTTTGTTAGTTTTATTTTTTGTGCTTTGTATCCATCTGATGAGTTCAGCTGATGTTTATAGTTTGTTCTTATGTTGTATTGTTACATCACTCTCCCAGGTTACGAGGAGGGTTTTGCGCCGGCAAACATGTGTCACATAGCCACATTCTATAAATGCCTATTCCAAGTCAGGAGCCTATAATTCAGTGGTTGTCGTATGTTGTTGTATATCATATTTGATTTTTGTCATTTGTTTTGTAAACAGATCGGGCCTTTAGTTTTCTCGGTTGAATTGTTTTACATTTGTCATCTCGAGGCCTTTTGTAGCTTACAAAAAGTCTATGGGTTTTTCTCATTGTTAAAGCCTACAGTGACCTATAATTGTTATATTCTACGTCATTTGGTCTATGATGGAAGTTTGTCTTCTTGGCAATCATACCACGTCTTCTTACTTGTATATGAAACATAACATAAACCGTTCAGACATGAAAGTTAGGTACAAGAATATTTTTTGGTGAATTCATACCACCATGGATTTTTGTGATACTATCTTAAAAGCTTCTTAAAGTTTTTGTAGTAAAATAATATAGGTCACGGTTACCATGATAGGTGAACATATCATTTGTATAAAACTAATGGTTTCTGGGATATTAACTAAACACAGAATAGGCGAACAAGCGTAAAAATACGCCACAGCCTAGTGACTTATTACTATTGACCCAATTGAAACCAAACATTGACTAAAAATGTCCTCACAGTTTCCAGTATCAAATTATGTCTGCTTTTTCTGCCGACAAACAACAAGTTCACTTAAATTATTTACGGAAAATCGCATAGACCCAGTGACTTATGTTTCAGTGACACATTTTGATTAAACAATTTCGGTTTATAAACCATGTGAATTTACTAAAACTAAGGTTTCGCCTCCTTCAAGCAAATCTGACCTCCTTCAAGCAAATCTAACCTAACCTCCTTAAAGAAAAGCCGACCTTCTTCAAGCAAAGCTAGTCTTCTTCAAACAAAGCTGATCTCCTTCAAGCAAAACCAAACCACTTCAAAGTTGATCTCCTTCAAACAAAGCTGATCTTCTTCATGCACACCTGATCTCCTTCAGGCAAAGATGACTTCTGACAAGTAAAGCTGACCTTCTTCTAACAAAACTGACCTTCTTTAAGCAAAGCTGATCTCCTTCAAGCAAAAAATACTTACTTCAAGCAAAGCTGAACTCCTTCTAACAAAAATGATCCCCTTCAAGCAAAGCTAACCTACTTCAAACAAAGCTCACCTCCTTCAAGCAAAGTTGTTCTCCTTCTAGCAAAGCTGACCTTCTTCAAGAAAAGCTGATCTTCTTTAAACAAAGCTAGCTGATCTCCTTCAAGCAAAGCCGAACCCCTTCAAACAAAGTTGATCTCCTTTAAACAAAGTTGATCTCCTTCAAACAAAACTGATCTTCTTTATGCAAACCTGATCTCATTCAAGCAGATATAACTTCCTTCAATTAAAGGACAATATTTTAACAAAACTAACCTCCTTTTAGCAAAGCTGATCTCCTTCAAGCAAAATGACTTCCTACATGCAAAGCAGAACTCCTTCTTACAAAAATGACCTCCTTCAAGAAAACCTAACCTCTACAAACAAAGCTGACCTCCTTCAAACAATGCTGATCTCCTTCAAGCAAAGTTGTTCTCCTTCAGGCAAAGCTGACCTCTTCAAACAAAGCTGATCTAGTTCATGTAAACCTGATCTTCAAGCAAAGATGATTTCCTACAAGTAAAGCTGACCTTCTTCTAACAAAACTGACCTCCTTTAAACAAAGTTGATCTGCTTCAAGCAAGGATGACTTCCTACAAGCAAAGCTGAATTCCGTCTAACAAAAATGGCCTCCTTCAAGCAAAGACCAATCCCTTCAAACAAATTTGATCTCCTTCAAACAAAGCTGATCTCCTTCAAGCAAAGATGGCATCCTACAAACAATGCTGACCTCCTTCTAACAAAAATGATCTCCTTCAAACAAAGCTGACCTACTTCAAGCAAAGGTGATCCCCTTCAAACAAAGCTGACCTCCTTTAAGCAAAGGTGATCTCCTTCAAGCAAAGCTGACCTCCTTCATGCAAAAATTATCTCCTTCATGAAAAGCTGACCTCCTTTAAGCAAAGTTGATCTCCATCGAGAAAGCTGATCTCCTTCAAGCAAAGCTGATCTCCTTCAAAAAAGCTGATCTCCTTCAAGCAAAGCTGATATCCTTCAAGCAAAGCTGGTATCCTTCAAGCAAAGCTGATATCCTTCAAGCAAAGCTGACCTCCTTTAAGCAAAGTTGATCTCCATCGAGAAAGCTGATCTCCTTCAAGCAAAGCTGATATCCTTCAAGAAAAGCTGATATCCTTCAAGCAAAGCTGACCTCCTTCAAGAAAGACAGTTTGATTGTGTTCTTTAGATTTGATGCCTTTGTTTTTATTGTTGGCTTCCAAAACAATGACTGCGAGAGTACCTGGTTGAGGTCTGTATTCCCAAAAAGCTGAATTTTGCATCATATTTTAAGGCCTATTTTACCGAGATGGATGATAATCTCCAAGCCAGCAGAAGATGAGCATCGACCAAACCAAATAGTTTTACCCCCACCCCTGATTTACAACGTTTCGCTATATATGCAAAAACTAACTAAACTGTCGAACCAGTCTTGAGGCCAGCATGCAATTACAAGACCAACGAGACAGTTCAATACTGTTTCAAAAATAATTGACCGACAAGAAACTCCGCTGCAAATGTTGGTGACACGGATAATAAATGACACAGGTTTATTAATCACTTAAAATACCAGAATATTAAATATAAAGAGCGTAATCAGTATTTATGTTTATGACATCTTTAATAAACAAATGAATGAATATTTTAACGATCCGCTATACAACGCAATTCAATATATATGTATATATGCTATAAACTTTAAAATAAAACATTGGTAATTTTAATTCCTTTTCAACTGTCTAATTCTAGTATTGACTACATACACTAAACTCATTAATTAAAACTGAAACTTTAATGATTCATTTTAAAATAAATGTCATGTTGATTTACTCCCATACAAAGTTTATAACTGGTTTGTTTCGTCAATACATCTAATTACGATCTACTCAACGTCAGAACAGTGGACTAATTAAAAAAAAGACAGGAAGAAGAGATATTTTGTTTTCAAGGAATCATGAGAACAGAAAGAGACTGTTCTGGTAAAATCGAATGATAATGTTGAAAAATTAAACTGGATTACACCTTCGCACAAACGAAAAAAGCAATATAAGTTTTGCGAGCAGACGACACATTGCAACATACCAACCAGCAGAACAGGAGTGGCTTACTAGAAATCGCTACTTGCCGTCAACGTTAATATTTGATTGGATGAAATATGATTGACGTACAACGACAAAGCGTAGGATCCAGACCCAACCTCCTCTTTGCGTCAGTAAGGATAGAAGGAATGTCGAGCAGTTAGCGAGGTTCAAAGACTAAATACGACACAGTTATTTTGTGCATTATGGTTCTATAAGAAAATATACGTGTATACAAATTTTCAATATTCAACTGGATTTAACAGATTCGTCTGTACTATTTTAAATGTATAATAGAAGAGAAAGAGAGGCGAAAGATACCAAAGTGATATTCAAACTCATTAGTCGAAAGCAAACTGACAATACCATGGCAAAAAAAAACGAAAAACGACGAAAAAATAAAAAACAGTACACAAAAATACAAAATACAACATAGAAGACTGAGCTACACGAACCCGACTAAAAAACCGGGGGTGATCTCAGGTGCTCCAGAAGGGTAAGCAGATCCTGCTCCTCATGTGGCACCATATTATAGAAAATGTGAACTTGTGCTCTCGGATAGACAAAAAAAATGAACAAAAGGAATGCGTCAATCACACAGAACACAAGTTCGTGTGATGTATCTGAATTTCACCCAAAAAATCAATGTCAATATAAAAATAAGAAGATGTGGCATGACTGCCAATGAGACAAATCTCCACAAGAGACCAACTGACACAAAAATTAACAACTATAGGTCACCGTACGGTCTTTAACAATGAGCAAAGCCCATACCACATAGTCAGCTATAAAAGGCCCCGAAATGACAAATGTAAAACAATTCAAACGAGAAAACTAACGGCCTAATTTATATACAAAATAATGAACGAAAAACAAATATGAAACACAGCAACAAACAACAACTCAATTACAGGCTCCTGACTTGGGACATGCACATACACAATGTGGCGGGGTTAAACTCATTTATTGGTGCCAAACTCTCCCCTAACCTGGGACAGTGGTATAACAGGACAACACAAGAACAAACTATGCAAAACAATGAACGAAAGACAAATATGAGAAACAGCAAAAAAAAAAGACAACCACTCAATTACAGGCTCCTGACTTGGGACAGGCACATATAGAATGTGGCGGGGTTAAACTAGTTTTAAGGCGCCAACCCTCCTTACCTGGGGCAGTGGTGTAACAAAACAACATAAGAACAAACTATAAAAATCAGTTGAAACTCATCAGATCGATACAAATAGAAATACATCTAACAAAAACTTGGTGGACGTGGCAGGGTACTTATACATCCCACAACAAAAAGACACTAAGTACAGATCTGAGAGTTACTGACAGCTAGTTGAAAGCCAATAACAACTAATAAAAAAAAATCATGCATCTAAGACTAAAATATCAATCAGTACACATCCAACATCCAATAGAATTAATGAAAGACGTCATTAACAGTCAGAGAAAAACACGACCTTGCATGTACAATGCCAAGATACAGTTATCGACAGATTGTAGATCCATGAATGTGCATAATTTATATATATATCAAAATAATATTTAGTTTGATTTTAATTTACTGATAACAAAATCAGACTACTAGAAAAATATATAAAAATTAAAATGTAATAATAATTTCAAATTAAATAACCTTTCCTCCATGTTAGTATAGTTCGTGTTGCTCAATCTTGTAGTTTTTTCACTGGTGAAGAGATTTGTGGATAATTGTCCTTCATCTCTTAGACTTCTACAACAGTATATAGTATAGTAGTCTTAGTTCATTTTCATCTTTTTTGGGGTCAAGATGTAGCTTAACCTTCGTTGACCGATGACCTTAGTATCGCTTACCTGCCAGTAACTATAGCCGGTCCATCCTTGCGTCTTCCTACACCATGATGTAGTAACAGTGTATATAAAACAAAGTTTAACAACAACATAAAGAAATAAATAAAGCAAACAATAGAAAATGCAGTCCTTTATAATTTTTCAATTGTCTGAATTGCTAAAGTTTCAATTTTCTTGGACTGCGTGAAGTGCATCATGAAATACCTGATAAGGAAATGAAATCATTTTTTTGTTAAAATGTATATGCATTTATTAAGCGTCAAAGAAGTTTTTATTATGTAAAACACCATATTAATGTGCGTACCGAGTACAACCATTGACGTTATCACACATATTATTTTTACATATCTTAATTCAAAATATATAATGTATTGTATTGTTTGCATGTTTTGTAAACATTCTATTAACTGCTACAAGTTATAGGTAATAATAATGATAATAATAATGACTTTATTTAAAGAGGGTGACTCAATTAGCATTCACTAATCTACTTTGAGGCCCTCAAATGGGTGATTACTTTATAAGTTTGATCAACTTTTGTCTCATCCATTTTGCATATCTAAGCAAATAGAATATTTTTAAACTAAGGGAAATGACTTAAAATATTGAATTAACAACTACATTCTAGAAATCGCCACTATTTGTTACCCATGTTAAACGGCTTATTTGACAGAATACGACGCAGTGCAGTTCTTTTGTATATTATACGTGTCCAAAAGGTACGTAAAGGGTTGACATATTCACAAACACATCAAGAAAATAATAATCTAAATAACAAATTGCCAGAACGTAAAAATATTTTTAAAAACTGTATTCTTTTCTCCATAATTTTCCTAGAAATCAACAATTATATGTATATAGTAACATCATTTGAAGAACCCCAAACATATTTTAAATGTACCACAAAACGTGTTAATTATGAAATCATTAGGTTGAACATAAATTGATTTTAAATGAAACGTCAATCAACTTCTATTTAAAACAATTAACTGACGTACGAATTCATGTCCTCATTTGCATAACTTTACATAAGTAATAAGTACACTTCCCTCTTTCTTACAATAACACTAGGTAGTTCCAGGAGAAAATAACAAATCAAACAGGTATGAATGTTTAAAAATTGATTATATTTTCTCTTACTGTTATATTTTCCTGAGAAATCAACATAATGTTAAATTACTTTGTTTATTTACGTAAAGCTTGGTATTTATGGGTCCAGTGGCGGATTATGCGGACTTGTGATTCCGTTAAAACTGACTCTTCTTGCCGAGTGTTTTTTTCACACTTATTTTGTAGCACAGTTTCAGATGGAAAAGGATCTATAAATGCTAAAAAAAATCTCAAAATACAGGATTTTAAATTTGGTACATGGTAATCTAAATACGGTATAGAGAAACCGAGAAAGTGCGAAAAAAAATTCATCGGAACTTAAATATTTGAGGAAATGTGTCACCATTTGTAGTATTTAATTTAAATGATGTCAATCAAATTTTTTAAAATCTGTTTATGTGACATAGATATCAAGAATCTAAAAATCGCATTGATACATGAATTCTAATGACATACAACCAGCCGACGATTATTAAACGCATTGACAGGAAGAGAATTTAATAGACTTTTTACCGAAACACGTGATCATTTTTATTTGAAATTCAATTTCCTTGTACTGGAAGTAATAAAGCAGTATGACATATGCACTTGATGTGCAATTCATAGTGTTATATTAAACGACGTATAAAGCAGTATGACATATGCACTTGATGTCCAATTTATAGTGTTATATTAAAACGACGTCTTTCGTTTTTGTTTTACAGAAATTTAATTATCGGACTATATAAGATTGTGTTTACTACCATTAAGTGTTTGTTTATTGGTAAGGACTGACTTAGATTGTTATTATTAGCATTATGGCTTTGTTGATTGAAATTTGACTAAAACCACACACGAACGATATTTCCCTTTTTAATGCTAACTATTATCGTTACACATAGCAGTGGATGTCTCAAAGAAATAAGAACATTTTTGTTTTTATCTCCGACTACTAATGATAGCTTCATTTATTTTTCCAATATCTTTAAAATACAAATCCTGTGTCAAGCTTTGCTTACAAGGATATGACAACACTCCGTTTTGCTTTCTGTTCAGGTAATTATTACATCAACCAATGAAATTTCAGTCATTAAATTTTCGAAGGTGTGTATTAATTTGACAAAACCAGAGGGTCCCGACTAGATATACTGCAGGTGCAATATGTAAGACATATCAAAATCTGTTGTACATGATTGCAAAATCCATTGTATTGTAATCCCAATCAAAAAAAATCTGCTATACACGATAACAAACACAATTGTTTTGAATTGCAATCTGGAACACAGATCCTATTGTGTCTGCCGTAGTGATAGTCAATAATATGACGTGTGTATTTGCATACCTTTAATTCGTTTGTTTAATGATATGCTTGTCTTCACTAATCTGGATTTAGTATACCCCATGAAAGTTTCGCTTTTCGGCAGTGACGTCCATCTTGTGAATCCATGATCGTGTCTTTGATAAAAAAAAAAATTGCATTATCACAAAAAAAAATATGTGTGTTTTTATTCGTACAACACCATTTTACAATTCAACCTCATTTGAATCCGTATCCATGCCACCCTCAATTTGACCTTTAACAAGAGATCGGTGACGTTAAGCACGATCAATTACTGAAAAAAAATGTCAACATTCAAAAGTGAAACAAAGGAGCCATCGGGAAGTACCATTAGTTGATATATTTTTTAACGTATGACATGAATCAAACACACCTAGGAAAATCATAATTATACGATTGCACGTGGTTGTCTGTGTATTTATATTTATTCTATGTTTATATCGGATCATATGACCATCGACATTCTTCGGGGATAGTCTAGATGGTTAATTAAATGGCGTCTAGTCTACAATACCATGACACCAAATTCTGAAACATTATAACGAGTTCATGAACTATTAATTGTTTTTTTTTTGGGATAACCGTTTAAGTATTTCATAGATTAATCAAATATAGGAATTTGTGTCAAATCAGTGAAAATGAATTTGACAGTTATCAAATGGTGTTTAATTACTTATATTTATAATTAACATTTGGTTCAAGGCAAGGATATCAAATCATTCCCCATGCATATCTGCCATTAACCATCTATCAATTGTTGATTAACGCCTTGTTTTGTAAACCAGTTTGTATGCAGATATAAATTGTAAATTTGTTCTTTCATTGTTATTTGCATTTTTGGAAGTACTATTTTGATTGTTGCAATATGACATCTTCGATATTCTATCCTTGTAATTCAATTTATATATTTGACAAAGCCCGATTCAAAACTAAACTTGGTGCTATGAAAGTAACAATAAGATAAACAAATACATGCTGTTTTATTGTTATAAATTTTTACATCGGAAAATTCTTCTAATAACAGAAACATGGTATCTAGTTTATAGCCTTAACCCTTTGATCGATTATTCGGTGATTTTAGTTTCCCTTCATTAAAAGTGTCGTTATTTCTAATGCTATCATCTTCAATTTGCTGATTGTTTTTTTTTTCCACTGACACTACAAAATGTCCCAAATCTGATGATTTTATAAAGAAAAAAAGCATATATGCAAAATAATCGTTAGACAATGTCAAAGATTTCTGTCAATTGTCGATACCGCATACTAGAACAACAAAGAAATAATGACATTGCCATTGTCGTAGATTATGGGTTCGAAATATAGTCCGTTTGGAACACATTAGGTACAATCAGGTTTAGACTTGTACTTAGATAATATTATTAAAAAATGTTGAAGATTTTGTAAGCAATATTGTACAGTTCAAATTTTGTAACATAATTTAATTTGCCAGTGACCGAATTGATTTTCTAAATAATTTCAGACATCTGCATGGTTTCAGCAAAATGAATATTTTAACCAAGTTAACAGTTTTTCTGCTTATGTGCAGTGGTAAGTCTTGATTCCCATATATTGGTGCTAATCAATAAATCATTGAATCAATCATGTTATTTTCTTTTCCTCGAATTAAAGTTGATTGATTGAAGTATTTTTATACATATGCCTTTATTGGTAAATGAACGAATTAGCCATGCAGCTTTGAAGTGAACTGGTGGTCCTCAATCACAAAAATCACTTTCAGTATTTGTTTTCTTTAATGACAGAACATTGCATGTAGTACGAGGGCACCAATCGGTTTTGATTTGAAACTTTACATAACAATCTGGAGAAAACCAAAACACAAATGTACATCACATGCTAGTGAAATATTTTTTCTTGTGACAGTTGCTCCAGAGGTATGCTTGATGCATACATAGTAGTAGATGGTTTCAAATATGTCAATGCATCTGGTTTCACTCCGTTCGGAGTTGAGGGGTTCCTGAATGTGTTGACATCTACGCTTATAAAAAATAAGCAGATGTGGTTTGCTAACAAATAGGACAGCTATCCACCATACCACATGAAGAGGATGTAAACAACTATAGGACAATATACGGTCTTCAACAATGAGCAATATCTGTATTTACGTGGACTTGGAATACTTGAACTGATGTCGGTAAACTACTTTTACATTTGTAATTACACATCTATCAATTTTGTATGGTAAAGTTAGAGGTATTTTTCTAGTGGTCATGGTTTTAAGTACTGCCTTTCCATGTTATATCTTTATTATCAGATTTGATATTTTGATTATTTTCTATAGTAACAGCAAAATATAACTGTAAGATGGACGGTTGTCAAAATGGAGGAAATTGCACTTACTTTGGAAACTGTGAATGTACACATGGTTTCGTTGGATACGACTGTGGCGTTCAGATGGGTATGTGTAAAATAAAAATATGCATATTTTGTCAGCTTAAACCGTTCAATTAATTTTTGAATAAAACGTTTAAAGTTCTTATCAATAGAAACTCACATATATACCTGATATTACAGTAATTCACATCCAGTTTCTTATATATCAAGTATTTTTAAAGTTGATATTCTTAATAAAGCAACCAAGTGTAAGAATTCAAATATTTGAATTTGTCTTAATAGAACTAAGAGTTAAAGGCTGTTGTGAAATAATTTCGTTTTGTCTTTACTGCTTCTTTTATTTACAGTTTAAAACATTGCTGAAATGATATAATAAATTGTTTTCTAATTTGACATTCTTAACGATTAATTATTTTGGACAAATAACAAGGCTATACTTGCACTTTAAATGACGTTGATGTTGAAATATACTCGAAAATACATTGCCCTACATTAACATGTAGGAAAAAAATGATTTCTATATCAAATGTTCAACATAAGAAATTTTGATAGTTTATTTTATACGCTCTCTTTTTTGTAGCTTTAAGAAGTTTTGGACCTAGTTGTTCGATTAAGTGCATGAACGGTGGAACGTGTTACAACACAAACATGTGTTACTGTACTGAGTCATTTCACGGCAATCGTTGTCAATATCAAAAAGGTAAGTATAAACATAAACGTTATTGCTTAAAAAAGAGGCAGAAGGAGGAAACATCCACAACTATTTTAATGGATTTCAAATACCGGAAAGGTCTTTGTGTTTTGCAACGCATGGCATGAAATAATTTGATTAATTATAGAGGAATTAGGTGTAAGTATATTTTTTTTAATTGCAATTCTTACTTTTGTAAAGAGATTGTTGTTTGTTTTTTCTTTCTCTATTTTTTTTAGCTTGCAATTCTTACTTTTTTAGAGAGATTGTAAACTGATCTACCAAAGAAAATATAGTTTTTACTGTATAACTTCCGTTTATTTTTATAGAAAACGTTCAGTGTGGATTAGAAGGAATACAGATTACAATTATGACATCAACGAAATTCCAAGGGGAGATTACAACAAAACCTAACAGCACAGGATGTCAGTTTAGGAGTTTCTTGACTTCGAACTCGACTTCACTACGATCATTCAGACTGATAACTCCATTATCACTACAAACAACAAACCCATGTCATAGAGCAATAAATAGGACGGTTACTGTAAGTATCTAATATGTTCAATAACACACAAAAAAAAGAGAATTAAAAAATGAAAGTCATAATGATTTCTGGAAACTTTTTGTTCTTTTTGTGAAATATCAGAATTACATATAGTACATCTATTTAACTGAAAACTATCATCACCACGGAAAATCAGTAGCACTGTTGCTAGAATAGTTAAAGTATGTTATATAAATGCCGAGCCCTTAGGACGGATTTACAGATACATTGGCGTGTCCTTTTTTAAGCTATGGGTATCTCAGACTTATTTACTTTCCTCTTGTGGTTGATGAGTTTCCCTCGGTTTTAGTTTGTGACCCGGAATAGTTTTCTCTTAATCGATTTATGACTTTTGAACATCAGTATACTATTGTTGCCTTTATTTACAAGGTAACAAAGTAATCCTGAGGTTTTGAAACATGAATACAAACGGTCGAGTAAAATAAGAAGACTGATTTGTTTTACTATCCATAAATATGGTTTTGAAATAAGGTGTGATGGTGTACTCCTTGGTTTGAAAGCTCGATTTGGCTTTGGACTGAATCTAATTTTAAGTATATCGTTGTGAAATTCTATTACATCGATGTGTGTAAAAAGATTCGTAATCACTATGTTCGAAAAATATCCTTTCTAAATGATAGCTGCACTGTTAATTTTTAGATAAAAGATTGTTTGATTTTCACCAGTTATTAAACAAATATTTATATAAGAAATGAAAAAAAACTCAATTGGTCAGTTTGTGGGATTTATGAAGATTGACAACGAAGTTGTAAGGAAATCTCATGAAAAATGTTTCGTCTTCAACAGACTCATCCGTTACGTTCGAATAAAAGGTGAAAAGGCAAAATAAAGTGCGAAGTTGAAGAGCATGTAAAATGACAGTTAGTGTAAAAACGTATATGATATGATTCCCGTGTGCACAACATGTGTATCTAAAATGAGCATCATCTAATACGCTCGAACCCAAAAGATTAGATAGTCAATAATCTAATATAATTGATAGTATATACACAATATGAGGTCGGTTTTGGTCGAGGGAATTGTAACCCTAGTTTATGCATAATTACACAATTTTAAAAAGTAGGACTTTGCAGATAAAATGTTTTATTTGAATGATGGCGCCCCACATGCTACTGGACGAATAGAATCCTCCGGGACTCTATGTCCACTAGCGACAATGCTGTCGCAGTGATAAAACAGAAACAGGACCTGTACTTCATATATAACATATATTTAGTATTTTTACAAAATATGGAGGTTTATTCAAAGTATTTGACTTAAGATTTCATACGAAATTAGAAATTGTCCGGAAGTTCCCATTCAAACAATATGATTTTTTAACAGTCTCAACCATCATAGAACCAAATCTACATTGACTTGAGTTTTATAGTCAATAGTGCATATGCAACAAAGATTATAGCCAAGGCAAACTTAAGCTATGATCACGAAAGAACTTGCCCGCAATAAATGGAATCCGCGGGAAACTTTAATATCAAGCAATAGGTATCCCGAAAATACCGTTTGACAATATATTACAAATAAAATAACACAGAGATAAATTTTGAATTGGACCGTTGTCATATAAAAACATTTTATTCCAAACGAGCAGATATAATCGAGAATACCAAACTAAGAACAGAGAAATGCAATTAAACCGATCGAAAAATTTTAGGCTTATTAGAACATTTCAAATTGTTGCAATTCCCCAAATAATAAAACATATATGATTTAAATCAAATAAGAAATATATACACAAGCGTCAGTCTAAGACTACCAAAATAAATTATCTTATATATATATATACTTTATTTTGAAACACTCGCACATATTCATGTGTAACAAGAGGCAAAATACATAATCACATATATGGTTGCTACAGAACAATGTTAACATAATCATATAATTGAGAGTATAATTACAATATTTTAACTAATTTATTAATGAAAAGTTATAAGTTCTTCATAACTTTAATGTTGCAAAATGAAAGCAGCCCTTTCATTTTCTCGACACATGGATAACTGTGGTAATATTCTGAAATATGATTATGTCTTATATTTCAACAATAACAGACTGGCACTCAAATAGATGGTGAAATTCATTTCCAATTGACAAGAAGCAGAGATGACAATGTCCTTCATCCCTCGGAATTCCATTTCATCTTCTTGTTTCTATTTGGTTGTTAATGTTGCAGCATCGCAATTTAGTGATATATATAGAGTCTTTCTAAATATTTTTCTAAGCCAAAGTCGATTTTGAAAAGACCATAATATCTTAAGCATAACATTGCGTCAGGATAACAACATTGTTATTACAATCTCATAGTTATGAGGGGTGGACAGGGGGTTCCCACTTCCCTACCCCCAATTCCCATTTCCCTCTCCTAACTCCCACTTCCCTCCTTCTTACTGTACCAAGTCAGGAATATAGCAGTTGTTATTCGCAGTCCGTTTCTATATAAGTTGGCGTTTGCTTTTGTTGTAGTTCAGTGTCTCTGTTGTTCCGTTGTTTTCCTCTTATAGTTGATGTGTTTCCCTCGGTTTTAGTTTGTTACCCAGATTTGTTATTGCTTAATCGAATTATGACTATTGAACAGCGGTATACTACTGTTGTCTTTATTTACTCCCAGACGAAAGTCGGTCAAAAACATTTTCTCAGAATATCACAATTTTTACTCCTCCTCTTTTCTCCGTTACCGCCCCTAACTCCCGCTTCCCGCCACCACCCCATTCCCATGTTACCTTACCCCTGTCCACCCCTCAATTATAGATGATTTAAAACAGTCTAAATTTTGAAAACTACTTCAATGTATGACAAAATATTACTACCTTTTGTAAATTAAGAACTTTGAACTTCAAAATTCCTATGGAAATTGGTATAAGAAAAAATATTCAGCAAGAAAACCGTACCGGTATTTGCATTTTATTTCATGTAATTCCGATGTTTTGGCGATGACTTTGTTATATTTGGAATGTTCGGCCATGAACTAAAGTAGAAAAAAAACTTTTTTGTTTTGCAAACAGACCAAATATTTTAATTGTTTTAATATTTTATGAAGAGCAACAATCCGGATGAACTAAATTAATTTTGCTAATTTATAAGAATAATTGATTGACACACAGAATATCCTGTGTAACCACTTTGTTATCTCTTCCTTGTATTTGTATTTGTATTTTACATAATGTATGTTCTCTGATACATTGATCTTAGTTTTGAACATCCGTAAACTACTATTGTCTCTAATTTACATTGAACTTTAGTCTACGAGAATGAAAATATATAATGTACAATAATGTACAAATGTTTTTATTTCAATTATGTCAATGCAAATGCTACTGAGCGGATGGAATCCCCGGATACTGAATGCAAACCACCAACACTACCGACCCAGTGGTAATACAAAAAGAAAATTGATTTTCAATACCACTGAAAAGTAGTCTTTTCCTTAATGTTTGTTGATTATTGACGTGGTAATAAAGATGAAGTATAACGTTCCGACTGTATACGACACATGGAATCACATTCACCAGACACCCTAACTTTAAGTTTTCTTAAGTCATGCATGGATTAAACAGGTTTGTTTTTAATTCGAATCAACAAGATAAAATTTTGAGACGGCCAATGTTGTCCTGGTCTTCCTTACGTGCTTGGGATTACTTCGATTTATGTTTAAGTTCTGTGATTATTTTGATAATAACTTGTTATTTTTTTTTATTAGAATATACAATTTTCTTCCATAAACAAATCATTTTTTGCGGCGACTTAAACGAAATACTTTTTTAATTGCAGCCTGATAAAGTGACATATTCCATAGATGTAGCCGTCTCAGAGAAGGAAGGAGTATACAACCCTCTGCGAGATAGAATTGTCAACTTTAAATGTGTTTATCCAAGAAGGTAATATATGTTGAACAGTGATGAATCATCAAACCACAAATTATAATGATAATTTATCACTTACAATTTTAATGAACATATTTAGAATAATTAATTGATGTTAATTTTCTCTGTCGTCGTGTTGAATATTTTTTAATGCTACATTTTGACACACCCCATAAAATTTCTAGTTTATAAAAAATTTCCCTCTTAACTACAGTTAACCAATCAACTTCAAATCGTAAGAACGTCTTTAATTTCTACCTTCTCAGTTGGACTTCTTTTTGTAACTACTAAATAAAAATGGCACTCGGCATTGTATATCTCCTTTTAAAGACAAGAGAAAACAAATTATAAAACGACCAAATATTAGTCAATGTATACTTTTTCTATACAAAATATTACACCATCCGATTACATTCTATACCATTTATATTTGAACAGAATTCCTTGCAAGGGGTCAGTTCAATTTGAATTTAATCTTTAACTATTGGGGATATTCTTGAAATTAACTTTATAAAGTCGTACAACTGTTTTCATGTAACTTTACCTTAGATTTACTTGGTCATTTAAATTTCAATATCTGATGTTATTTTAAGACTTTGATTGAAAATTAGAATAAAATTGACAACCTTAAAGGGACATTAGCTGTAAAATTTATATTAATTGATTTGACTCAAATTCTCATATTTTATTTATAACATGCTAAAACGTATATCCAAATTACAAAAAGTATAACATAAACAATTTACAATGTAAGGACCCGTTAATATGTATCAGCATTTCGTGTGAATTTTAGTCTAGACGACATCTAATTGACCATCATTATGGCCTCCGAAGACTGCTGACAGTCATTTTACCTGATATAAATATAAATATAAATAGATAGCGAGCACGTGCAATTTGATTTCTCATGTATCTATGATTTCATGTTATCGGTTTAAAAACATGTTACTCTTCGTTTTTACCTGTATAAGAATGATTTTTTGTGGATCGAATCAGTCAACAAAAGTTTCACCCTTGTTTCACTTTCAATGTTGACATTCTTTTCCCTTTAATAGCTGAGCATGCCTAGTACATGCGTAATCCATTAAAGTTAAAGATTCAAATTGAAGGTCATGTGAATGCGGACTCAACAGAGATTGAATTATTGACTTGCAAGTCAATAAAACATCAACGATGGTTTTGAGCAAATTTGACAAACTTGTGACAAACTGACTGCTTACAATGAAATATTATTTTAAAATTCCGCATTTAGTAAGTCTTGAAACAAAGAGAATTGTATTTCAATTGTTTGTCTAAATCGTAGCTAATGCTACTTTAAAAGATTAGGCAACACGTGTATGTTTTATAATGAGAGTAAATTTGCAACAACATTTAAAGCATTTGATGAAAATGTAATCAAAGAGTGAAATATGGTTTCCCTTAATGTGCAAGAAAGTCCCCGTTCGGCTTGAGCAAGGGAAAATAAAAATTTGAACAAAGGAATATTTTAGAACTGCAATTCCTCTATATTATTAAATACTTTTTTCGGTTTTTAAAATGCCTATATGAATTTCAGTCGTAGTGCAATGTGAAAATTAGTATTCACATGGCATAAGCATAAAATTCAGCCTTGAAAATTCATGAATTTCCTTTTCCCTTCAGTGTGTCATATTTTAGCCCCTCGAGGGAACAGAAGACATCCCTGATTGCCGGATGCAAACTCGGTCTTTCTTAGACGCTCTAATGGACTAACATTTTCGTGTATTGTTTACAGGATAGGTGAAGGTACAACGCAAGATAATACACAGTCATATACTCCAGTGGAACTACTATATCTGAATACTAGGCTGCAGCCTCTTACCCAAGGAGTTCAAGAAGGGGATGTCTTCTTTATAGATTTTACACCTACCACAGAATCAGGTGAATTAAGTATAAATAAAGAGTAATTTGCAACATCTTCAACGACTCTATAGAATTTCAGTAATGTCGTATCAACCTTGTTAAATTGTTAATATACAGAAAAACGTTCCCTAACCTGCTTATCAAACTGAAAAAATACTTGAGTGATACAATTTTATAGAAAAAACAATGAATGCTCTTTAATGTATATATAAATCTTTATATCAAATTTTTCATGTAAAACAGGAAATATATTTGAACCTGAAAGCTATTGCAATTATCAACGTAAGCATACAAACAAGGTTAAAGGTAATCTGCTGTTGTTCGTCTTTTCATCGTTTTTCGTATTTTGTTATGGCATTGTCAGTTTTTTTTTTCGGCTTTTGAGTTTGAACATCCCTTTGGTATCTTTCGCCTCTCTTCTAGATAAAATGTTTCTCGCTTTGAATGTTTCTAAATGTTGTGCATTTGTATAGTATCTGTAGCCATAACTGCTATGCTTTATTCGTGAAGTCTTGAAACCACATTATTTATGTTCTTGTGTATGACATATAAAATAACCAAACATGAGGCAGCAGCTTATACCATGCAATAGTAGCCAGTGCTTCGGTATCGGCATACTCTAAATTTATGATTTTGACACATTTTGATTGTAAATATTAAGTTAAAAAAATATGATACTGTATTTTATTTTCAACTAGTTAAGGCAAAGCTGAACTTTTAGTTTGATTCCCTACAATCTTTTTGTAACTGGCTACCAAACAGTGGTCTCTAGGATAATGACTGAAGAACGTGTCATGTGCACAGTTTCTAACGTTCATAATTCCAAATAAGAGCGATGGGTTAGAAAGACAATTTCTTGCGTTTCTCACGATTACCACACAATTTTCTTTATAATATTCTATTAGAGATTACATTTAATGACGATGATGCTATTTTGAAGCTTGAATATGACAAAGCAAAATTATTGGTGGTACCATCTCGCGGATGTTTCGCGATTGCTTATAAATAACAACTGGAACAGTCTCGCAAAGACAATCCGGGTTTGGCTTTATTTTTTGTCCCTTTCGGGCTTTATCAGAAATTCATATCATGTTTTAAACTTTCAAATACTTTGGCCATGGGCATAACTAAAACATTAATTTATTGAAATGCGCATCTGAAGCAGTAAAATGTGTACCGTTAATGTTGTTAGATGTTACCATTTCATTACATATCCCTATTGCTATAATTAAAAAGGATTATAATTACGTCTTTTAGGATCAAATGGTTTACAAGTGATGAGTATGGAAGCATTTAGTGTACACAATGGTAAAGTCACCACGTTCAAGATGATAGAAAAAGGGTATGTGCACAATCTTCTTCATTCTTTGTAATTACAGACAACCAGATAAAAGTCTGAATATGTTGTTTATGTATGAACAGACTTCGGGAATATATAAAATACCCTACATCGAGTTGTACAAATCATCCTTTCAAAAATAATGAAGGTGTATAAATCGACGGTTCAAAAATAAGGTAACTTTTGTGCGTTTATTTGCATGATTCTCAAACATAATGTATGCAATGTCTAACAGATAATGTAGATTATTTCGATCATCATACAGACTTGTTTTCAGAAAATTACTTTTCATTTATTACAAGGTAATTGTGTTTTTTATTCATTATCTATTTAATAAGAAATGCACATTCATACACTGAGGGGTTGAACGCAATCGAACATTTAAAACAACACAATGCAAACAAAAAAATAGAATATTAAAGCATAGAAAAATAATATCAAGACTCGTTCAGGTGGGATGTCCATCCTCTTCAGTGACTGAAACAGCAAGCTGCATAATATTAAATGATAAACAAAGTAATTGCAATCTGCCTTTTTTTAGATGATTCTGTAATTCCTGGTTGAATAGTATTTTAAAATTTTCAAGCTATTTTCGTAAAGATTTAATAATTTCTCGTGTTAACAAAAAATAGTCATTCATTATTGGACTGTCGCATGTATTGATTTCTTTAGTTCCTCCAAATGTTCATGCTTGGAAACAATAAGCCGTTTTAATCAACCTAGGTACTTAGTAACATAATCATAACTTTATGCATATGACATGATTAATTAGACAATATTTTTTAAAATCGCTTCAGTCCTAAACTAACGCTTTTAAAGCGAACATAAATTATTCATGTGCTAAAACCTTCTAAATTTTTGTATAATAAACATATATAAGCATGTTTAATCTCGTCGCATTTTTGCGCCTGTCCCAAGTCAGGAACCTCATGCCTTTGTTAGTCTTGTGTGATTTTTAATTTTGGTTTATTAATATGTTTCGGAGTTTAGTATGGCGTCCAATTTGCTGAAATAGTATACATAATTGTTAGGGCCAGCTGAAGCCCGCCTCTTGGTGCGGGATTTTCTCGCTGCGTTGAAGACCCATTGGTAGTCTTGGGCTGTTTTCTGTCCTTTGGTCGGGTTGTTATTTCTTTGACACATTCTCCGTTTTCATTCTCAATTATATGTATACTTTTATTGGATAAGGCATTACAAAGAACGGAAATACTTTAAGGTACTGTTAGGCGCAATTACTATTTCATGTTAATTACAATTTGATCATTAGATCATTTAATAAATATATAAAGAAATAAATTGCAAAACAGTTCTCATGCGAAAACCAAATAACCACTGATACACATAAATGTTCTACTAATAAACATTGCATCTTCGATCAGATATGAAAGACTGCAATCAAACATCTACAAAATATATACAAATAATTTAATTTTGGATGTAACGCGTCTTCTGATTGGCTGACAGTGTTTCGTTTATCAGCTCATAGACATAATTTAGTCATGTGACCGTGACGTCGTCAACGTTTTTTCATGATTTACTCCGGTTTAAAATGGAATTAAGAATTAAATTATAAGGAATGACTGTAATATTTTTTCTGTCTATTCGAAATAACATAAAAAATGTGGTGCACACTTAAAAATAACCCGCTACGCTGGTTATTCAGTGTGCACCACATTTTTTATATTATTTATTCATAGACAGAAAAAATATTACAGTCATTCCTTAAATGTACTAAATATTAGTATAATGAAATAATAAAATAATAAAACTTTACAAAAACATTTTATATTAAATTAAACTTCAAACTACAAAATTGATAGATGTGTAACATTTAATTGTCACTGCCGATGATAAATTTCTTGCTAGTTTTTTTTTATACAGACCGCCAAAACCGGTTTACCACTATTGTGAAAAAAGCAATTAGGCTTAACTAATTACAAATCATTACGCTAACCGCACAATTAATTTTATTTGTAATGTTTTGTTTCTTAACATTTCCGTATTCAATGATATATTGAAGCGTTCGTGACATTGAATAATCATTGTATAACACTAGAACTATTCTTAAGAAATAAAGTTGCATTTTTTAGAAAGGTAAAATAGGCATAGATAGAAATGAATGAATGAGGTAAGATAAGAGTCATTTTTGGATCCTGGACTTTAAAAAATAAAAGTAAAATTATTCAAACCTTTCAAACTAATGTCTATTGAGTAATGAACAGAGTGATATCACGTCAGTACAGAAAGGTCGCTTGTTATGTTACATTAAGGTAATAAACATGTCAAAATTTAATACTTGGTCCAAAATGGCCATTTTTCACTTACTTTTTGAAGAAAACAGATACCAGCCCAGGTTTTTCACTAAACGATATTTAACGCACATTAAAACCTTTGTAACTTCTTTTTGTTGCAAAACATTTTAATGTAGATAACAGTAGTTCACCGATGTTTAGATATCGTAAATCGATTAAAAAGAGACAAATCAAGGTAACAAACATCAAATTGACAGCAAGCAGGGTTTTTCTGTATTTTGAATGCATTTTCAAACCTGCCACGCTTGTATCTATTCTCAAATCTATCTAGGACCAAAACTCCTGAAACACAAAGTGAAAAGCGTCAATATCGAACTTGACCTCCATTTTTTATCAGTAACAACATAATATATTTTGCATTGGTTGACCTGTTCATAAGTTATAGCACGGAAATGACATAAAGTGCCCGTTTCCTTTCTATCAAGCACCATAACTTTTGAACAGTATAGATAAAAATCGTCAATATCGAAATTTACCTTCATTTTGCCATCAATAGCAATATATTAAGATTAGAAAACATTGGTTTGAGTGGTTCATGAGTTGTTTATTAAAACTACATAAAGTGCAATTTTCCAATCTATCAAGGACCATAACTCTTTGAAAGTTAAAAATCTTTAATATCGAACTTGACATCCTTTTTTTCATCAGAAACAAAATATCAAATTTGAAAAGCATTGATTGAACGGAACAGTTGGCAAAAAGTGGCTTTATCATTCCTTATCCATTACTCATACATATTCTTAAGTGAACATGTCTTTTGTCAGATCTAAATATGTGTTTTGTCAACTATGGAAATTACATATTTATACATATTTTTGTTTCAGAATTTTTGTGATAAGTTAGGTAAATGGTATTAAATACGTTGAAACTAATTCTTCACGTCATTAGCTGTAATGCCTATAGAACCTTTCTAGTCGTTTTTTGTTCCAGAGATGGATTACCTGTGGTTTAGGTTTGTAGAACTGAACGTTCTCATCTTATTTAGGTCTTTGACGGATTGTTGTATCATTACCAATCCCATCATGCTTCATAGACTTCTTGTACATAGCAATTTGAAACGGTTTACGTGTTTTTGTTGTTTCAGATGTATTTTACCGACAGCTGAATCTCGTGTGAAATCGATGAATGTGGTGGAAGGCAAGCGTCCAAATGGAGACCGTATTTTCAAAACAAGAATTGAAATGACGGCTTTTTCATTGTACGGAAACAGCTACCTCCACTTCAACTATGACCTGAAATTTTGTCCGGAAGCTTGTCCTGAGGTAAAAAATAATAACAAGTATTTGTGTAGCTTACAAGTTTAATTTTCTATAGAGTTTACGATCATATAATGGCGGTATTACATTGATAGCATGATAATGAAAGGATGAAGAGCATACACGCGACCGTACTGCAATATAAATCAAAGTATCAGATTTAAATCACTGGATTATGATTAAGCATGCCAGGCGCACTTTTCGTCTACATAACACTCACCAGTGGCGCTCGAATCAAAACATTCGGAAGGCCAAATCAAAAACGAAGTTTTTGGAGAACTGAAACTCAAATACAAAATTGTACTCTTCCCGTTTGAAAACGTACATAGTCCAATGGTGATCAATTTTTATTTGAACATGAATAACTAAACTGTGATATGGTTTTACGATTTTGCCTAGAAATCCCAGCGCAATACTAATGTGCAAAGGTCAATACTATACAGCAGTGAAACCTAAAGCATTGAAAGTATGAAGTTGAGCTACTTTAAAATTGTTTTGGCAATATGTCAGCAATACACCTAACAATCCATATATTAGTTTTTACAATTAACAATAAAGGTCGGTTGAGGAAAAAACTTAACGACAAATATCAGACGACTTTTTATAGGAGTTAATGCCCTTAAAATGACAATCTTTACCATTTTTTTTTCATTTTTGTCTATTATCTTGAAAATCATAATAGATAGAGAGAAACTTTAAATACCAAATATGATTAGCAGGACATGATCTACAAATAAGACAGATGGTTGAAATCGTCTGAAGACCCTTTATTGGAGTTATTAATAAAGGCAATAGTAGTATACCGCTGTTCAATAGTCATAAATCGATTTAACTGAAACAAATCCGGGTCACAAACCAAAACTGAGGGAAACACATCAACTATAAGAGGAAACAAAACGGAACAACAGACACACTGAACAGCTACAAAAACAAACGCCAACATACATAGAAACGGACAATGTGATAACAACTGCCGTATTCCTGACTTGGTACAGGACATTTTAAGAAAAAATGGTGGGTTAAACCTGGTTTTATGGCTAGCCAAACCTCCCGCTTGTATGGCAATGTTAAAAAATACAGCTAAAATGACAACATTACGTGACAGGAATACAGTACGAATAAATGCCAGAACATTCAGGACAGAGAAATGCATAAATAATTAAAGAACATTCAGGACAGAGAAATACATAAATAAATAATATAATAGTACATTTCAACATGTAAACCACAGAATAACAACGAACACCTAAAATTAATTTACAATAGAACACAAATACAGCACAATAGAATAATTAACTGTGCGTCACACGAATGTATCAACGCCACAAACAGTGACGTCACATGTAAATTTCTAAAAATAGAATATAAAATTGGGATTAAGTTTGTAATGGTGTTATTTGATGTATTTTATAACCATGTCGGGTTTTCTTCTAAATCAAACTGTGCAAAACCAAATAAATCCTGAGCATATAGTTGCTTTAAACTAAAAATCATATAAATGAACTAGGTGATTAATATCTTTACTTTTACATACATATAGAAAATAAAAATAGAATCATTACATACATATAGAAAATAAAAATAGAATCATTACATACATATAGAAAATAAAAATAGAATCAAAACCACAAACGATAAGACATAAAACAACATCCAACAAGAATTACAAATGAAACATCATAACTAAATACATGAATGTTGGATGTACAAATACCGAGACACGTCTAATAGCAATGCGAATATACACTCAGCAAAACAGTCATATTCGGGAATAGGCCACGTTCGGTACTTAGAAGACTAGACGATGTAGATGGTAAACCACAATCTCAGACGTGGTAAAACACGGACATGGACACATCGTATAGATCAACCAATTCGTGATGGTGTCCATAAAATGTACGGAGTGTCATTTTTAATCTTTCCTCCTCATAACTCTGTTGGAGCAGTTTCTGCGTAAGGAGCACACTCCTGTATATGAAGTCCGTATAGTGTGAACATGCACGAGCATAACGTATCAACTGAGATATGTAAACACCATACGATGGGGAAGAGGGTATGTTACTGCTAAGAAATTGGAAATTGATAATTGGGAAGTTGAAATCGTCCAGTTTGTCATAGGATTTAGTGTGAAGTCGTCCATCTGTGTCAATATTGAGAAAAAGATCAAGGTATGAAGCAGTCCTTCTAGTAACAGTAGTATCCTTAATTTCAAGTTCACTGGGATAATTGAGATGCAAGTACTGGCTGAAATATGGGTTATTCAGTGATAGGACATCATCAATATATCTGAAAGTAAAATTAAAGAATTTCGCAAGGTGCTTTTTCTTTTTGTCTTTTGGAAGGTTTTGAATGAATTCTGCTTCATACGAGTACAAAAACAAAACGGCCAGTAGGGGTGCACAGTTAGTACCCATTGGAATATTACAATTTTACGTTGAGTTGTACTATTTTTGTTTTTTAATTTTGCCTTATATCTGAAAAACTATAATAGATACATAAAAACTAGAATAAGCAAAAATTATCATCAAGACGAGATCTACTGGCCGTTATTATCAGTTCACTCCTTAGTTAAATTATTTCTCTTTAATGACGATTTTTACCCATTTTAGTGTTCTACCTATTATCTTGAAAACTATTATAGATAGATAGCCCCTTTAAAAAGCAAAAATGATCAGCAAGACAAAAGTTGCTTGTCATGAATTCTATTATATTCTTGTATGGATGTTGGAGAGTGCCCATTGTGGAAAATGCACATAGACCTAGGTGAGCTACACCGGCTATTTAGAGACTATAGGTTTAGTAAGCTATATTGCCATAACCATCACTTGTAAATGAGTTAATGCAAATACATTATGTTTTATGTTTTATCATTTGAATTAAGGCAGCAGTAGTTAACTAATGTTCAAATCTCATAAATCGATTAAAAAGACAAATCAAGGTAACAAACAAAAACTAAGAGAATTTTACGAATCCCAAAAGGAGCGAGATTTGGTGCGTCGACAGGGTAAGCGTCTCCTGCAATGTCTGCATCATCTGGTACGTGAATCAACACTCAATCAAAATGTCACAATCGGAAATAGAATTCAACTGTTAAATTAACAGATTATGAATGGATTTCAGAATCAGTTTAATGATAGTGTTTTCATATGGTGGATGTTACTATAGTACCTTTATTGGATACAGACATTATTTTTCTATTCTTCATTTCAGATAAGATGTGTCAAGCGACAACGCGTACAACCGACTCAGCATCATCAGCAAAATTTCCATTTTGGAGGACCTGGTTTGAACATCGTAATTTGATGTTTGTCTAGAGAAAAGAGATACGAGTTTGGAAACGAAACGCAAAATATTGATATCACGAGTAGTTGTATCTAGTTCCAGAATACTACAACAACTTTCTTGTCCTCTGACATCTATATCACACATATTTCCATCGTTTCATTTGATCTCATGTCGTCTACCATAATAATATTATGTCTCAAGTTTCGCTAATAATTCTGCTTTAAAATGGACTTGTATCTGAAAGATGAAGACATATTTTAACTATTATATTATATTTATTGCCACCAATACATTTATATGATTTGGGAAAAGAAACACAAAATCTTGATACCACGAGCAGTTGTATTTAGTTCCAGAATACTACAAAAACGATCTTCGTCCTCTGACATCTATATCACACTTATTTCCATCGTATCTAGTATTTTGTTTGACTAAATTATACTTTCAGTTTTCATTTATCTTATATTAGTATTTTTTTCTTTCAACCACTTGTCAGTTTCAATCACTCTAAATGTCCCCTCCTTAAAAATTAATTGTATGTCGCTTCAAATAAATACCTATATATATCATAACTTAAATAGTCATATTGAAAACAAATAAGGCAAAATACTTTTAGAGGTCAGCATACGATTAAAACGTCTTTTGTTATAACAATTTTCTCCACTGTTTTACTAAGCAGTTTCAAATTACAAAATGGATATTATCATTTTTTGTTTTAACTTTGTACACTTTTGCACTATACACATTAAGGTTTCATACACATTCTCTATTGAAATATAACGTTAATAAAAAGTGTACTATCATTTCTTACATAAAAAAAAGTATGCACCTGTTTGTTAGAAAGGCTTTTTATTTCATCCTATACACACTTCACGGAGCTGTCACGACTCAGACTTTAAGTCCCAGTTTTGGTTAAACATTTGCTTGATTTAAATACATTTTATCATATTCTGATTTTTATCCAATATATATATAACACAAAGTAGCAACATATCGAAATTGATTTGGTTCACCATATACACATTCTGAAAATTTGATTAAGTGGTGCTGAAAACCATTAGAAATTCAAAAGTATCAAATGTTGAAGAGCAAAATATGACCGTGTAGGAGAAGGAGATCAATATAAACTGTCCAACAAATGTGCAAATTGTTAAGATATTTTGCTCGTACTGGCAATCGGGCTTTGTAGAAGGTCTGAGACCATTAAATCTATGCTTTTTAAAAAAAGAAATATAAAAAAAAATCTCTTTAAGCCAAAGACAATATTGTATAAAAACCATTGGAAACGTGCCGATTCAAAAGGGAAGACTTAATGATCATCAAAATATTTACTAAAAAAATCATTAAACATCATTTCACGCCAATGTTGACAAAACCTCGTCTGTTTTCCTCCATTTACAGGTATTATAGAAGATGTATAAATTGATATCAGATGGTTATTGTTAGAATGATTGCCCTGTTTACTCTGAATTATACTTACCAGTGCAAATTACTTATTCGTTTTAACTCTTTTTTTATATATTTTGCTATATTTCTTAATACTGCAATAACACTAATAAAAGATTATGCTACCCAAAAAACGACCGATTCTTTGAACCTTTTGAGTGCGATGAAAGTTATTGTTTTCTGTGTATTTCCTATGGAAATACAAGGCACTTTAGCTAGCGCAGTGACTGTCTTGTCTTTTCCGTTTTCGGATTTCAACTAGGTAATGATACATTCTAAATGATGTGTTCGGGTTTATAACAACAGAAGAAGAAAAAGAAATAAACTATTTAGTATACAATATTAAGGTTCTTGTTATTGTGATGTCATTTTTATAGGAATTAAAAACCCATTACAAGTAACGTTCTTGGAGTCTTATATTCTTAAAGCAGGTATTAAATTTTAAATGGAAATAATTGATTTTTTAAGACTACTATATAATGTTGTTGTATGATAATAAGTGTTGTTTGTGTTATACCTTTGTGATACCTTTTGTAAAGTGACGAACACATAACATAAGTCCACTATGAACGTGGATAATTTTTGTTGACTCGTCTAAATTGATCTCACAGTGTCAATTAATTCCTTAAACACGACATGTGTTTCTTGAATAACTTCATCAGGTATGCTCAACGACAAAAATTTAAAACGTTTGACAGCTTAAGACTTAAAGGTTATAAACAATACAACAAAACCGTTCATTGCTTACAGTAAGGACCACGGATATGCGTCACTAAGCATAGCCAGAATTCAGTCTTTGTATTTCCATTTAAACATCACCGTTTGCGACTTATCGCGGGTTCTTTACTTGCCATATGAGCAACACGTCGGTGACACTAGTGGAGCAAGAACTGCTTACCCTTTAGAAGCACTGGAGTTCTCTCCTTTTTGGTGGGTTTTGTGTTGTTAAATTTTTCGGTGTAATGATCGCGGATTGGTCTTTGTCTGTTCCACTTTTTTCTTTTGGCCATGGTGTTATCTGTCTTTCTTCGACTGATCGTTTTTGATTGCCACCTTGAAATCTTCGCTCCTTTTTTTGCTCGAGAAAGTAGCAAAATTTATCAAAGTTTTAAAATTAATAATCCAAATATTTCATTAAATTCATACTAAAAAGTAAAACAACAAAAATACCGAACTCCAAGGAAAATTCAAAGAGAAGACGATTCTTGTTTTTACATTTCCAACCAGCAACAAAGTCAGTATACATGGTCTTTACCACTCTAAATCAATGAAAATAAAAAAAACAGTGCTAAACATATGATACAAATTATGTAAGGTTAAATGAACAATGTATAAAAAAAAATACAGCAAGGTGTGGTATTATTGACAATAAGACAACTCTCAACCAGAGAAAAAAATGACGTAGATGTTAGCAAATACAGGTCACCATACGGCCTACAACAATGAGCAAAATCAATATCCCATAGCAAGCTTTAAAAGGCTCCGAAATGGCAAATGTAAAAAAAGATTCAAACAAAAACCACTGAATTACAGGCTCCTGATTTGGGACAGTGGTGCAACGATTCCCTCAGTTTTTAACCGGATTTCCAAAGTAAAATATCGGTTATTAATTTAGTGATGTACGGCGGGCGGCTGCCAAACAGTGTCCGTGCAATAACTTGAAAACGCTTTGACGAAGTCTTTTCAAATTTAGATATATTGTTCCTGTGACAAAATAAAGGACAAGTTCAATTTTCACGATTTTAGCTTTTATAGTTGTTGAGTTGAAGACCTTAAAGTAGTGAAAAGTGATACTTAGAGCGTTGTCCTTGCAATGGCTTGAAAACGCTTTGACGAATTCTTTTAAAATTAAAATGTGTTGTTTCTTGTGACTAAAAGAAGGTCAAGTTCGAATTTCATGGTTTTAGCTTTTATTGTTGGGGATTTATAGACCTTTAAGTAGCGTAAAGTGATACTTAGAGTGTTGCCCATGCGATTACTTGAAAATGCTTAGATGAAAATCTTGTGACACTTTGAAAAAGCAAAACAACAACCGTTTGAAAGTTGGTTTCTCGAAAGTTATTAGAGTGACCACAAGATTCTATGGTTTCATATTAAATAAGGGTTTACTCTGAAAAACATATTTCTTTCATTATTGGCTTCATAATTTCTGCCTACCCACCCATGCTGAACAAATGTGTGTATACTCTCTTAAATTCCAATATTATGTCACTTATGATAAATAGGTAAAGATTGATTTTGGCCTCTCCATTTCTGAACCTTACAAAAATTAATTAATTTTTTTACTTGGTCCTGTTTTGGGGTCCAGATTTGCAAATATCATTTTCATGTAGGGAAATCCAGTTTGCTGTTAATTTGACAGCCTCTTGCTTTTGTTACCTTGCTTTGTTTTCTTAATCGATTGATAGATTTTAACATTGGTAAACTACTGTTCCTTAATTTACTACTGTACATCAGTTTATTGTGGCACTGTCTTTGTTTTTGTAGTTTGGGCATTAGAAGGGGAAGTTGCATCCTTACTGTGTTTACTGTTTATGTTTTAGCCTAGTACAATACAGGACATGCACAGTGAGAAGTTTGCACTTATTAATTCTGCACTTCAATTCCAACCACGAACAGATAAATAAATAGACGTACACACAAAAGTCCTGATATATTCTGCATTACAACCAACTTGACATACTTAATAACATATGAAAACATTATTTATGGTCCGCTGAAGTCAAATAAAAACTAACACATGTTATGATGATGCAGGCCACAGATGTGACAGTTTATGTTTCAAAATCAATCATATCAAAAGATACATGTATAAAATTTGCATACACTACAATTATAAGTACCAATTGTGAATTTAGATATACAATACTTTCATAACAATCTGAACCAATAAGCATATTATGTAATAAGTGAAAAGACAAATGTCATCAATTATTAAAATTGAAATTTTTGAAAAGTCAAATCAATTTAGTGTTATCTCCCCTTAACTACAAATTTGTTAATAATAGTGTAACATCTCAACTTTTGGGAGCAGATACCGCCATGACGTTTGAAGCTCTTTTGGAGCTGAAAACGCTGCCCTAAAGTAAACCTGAATCAATCATCATCCTACTAATGCAAATGGTAAAATTTACAATTCTACGTATCGTTAGTAAAAATTAAAAAACTTATGTAAGAAATGTATATACTAAAGATACAAAATTTACAGACATTGTGTTCAACAACTGTTTCTAATTGATTCAACTGAATTAGATGAAATGATGACAAAATGTACGGACATTGAGTACCAAAAATGTCCTTTATCCTAAAAGACACAATTTACAGACATTTTGTTCCCATATGTATCTCGTGATGCAAACATATCCTATCCTAACAAGACACAATTTACAGACATTGTGTCCTACCAATGTATCTACTTGATACAAACCAATCATATACTAAAAAGACACAATTTACAGACACTGTGTCCTACTAATGTGTCTACTTGATACAAACCAATCATATACTAAAAAGACACAATTTACAGACATTGTGTCCTACCAATGTATCTACTTGATACAAACCAATTATATACTAAAAAGACACAATTAACAGACATTGTGTCCTAACAATGTATCTACTTGAAACAAACCAATCATATACTAAAAAGACACAATTTACAGACATTGTGTCCTACCAATGTATCTACTTGATACAAACCAATCATATACTAAAAAGACACAATTTACAGACATAGTGTCCTACCAATGTATCTACTTGATACAAACCAATTATTTACTAAAAAGGCACAACTTACATACATAGTGTCCTACCAATGTATCTACTTGAAACAAACCAATCATATACTAAAAAGACACAATTTACAGACATTGTGTTTTAACAATGTAGCTACTTGATATAAACCAATCATATACTAAAAAGACATAATTTACAGACATTGTGTCCTACCAATGTATCTACTTGATACAAACCAATCATATACTAAAAAGACACAATTTACAGACATTGTGTCCTACCAATGTATCTACTTGATACAAACCAATCATATACTAAAAAGACACAATTTACAGACATAGTGTCCTACCAATGTATCTACTTGATCCAAACCAGTCATATACTAAAAAGACACAATTTACAGACATAGTGTCCTACCAATGTATCAACTTGATACAAACCAATCATATACTAAAAAGACACAATTTACAGACATTGTGTCCTACCAATGTATCTACTTGATCCAAACCAATCATATACTAAAAAGACACAATTTACAGACATAGTGTCCTACCAATGTATCTACTTGATACAAACCAATCATATACTAAAAAGACACAATTTTCAGACATTGTGTCCTACCAATGTATCTACTTGATCCAAACCAATCATATACTAAAAAGACACAATTTACAGACATTGTGTCCTACCAATGTATCTACTTGATCCAAACCAATCATATACTAAAAAGACACAATTTACAGACATTGTGTCAAACAAATGTTTTTACTTGATGCAAAACAGACCAAATATGTTTACTATTGACTGAATTCTTACAACAACAACATACATTCAATAATTGTATTAACACCTATTTTCCCCGTCAAATAACTGTATTTCCTTATATATTGTTATTAGTTTACTGCTTAATATTACTAAATGCAAATGAAAGATTTTAAGATTCCAGTCCTTGCAAGCTGCCAATTTCTTCTCAGTAAAATTTGGTCAATTCAATGGTAAACGGATGAATTTCTGGTTTTAGGTTGTCCTTGTTTCAGCTTAAATGAGATTCATAATTCACCTTTTGCCAATTGTCCACCGTTTCCATATAAACATGAACTGTTATTTTGTATGGAATATGTAACGAGCTGTGACCCACAAGCCCTGTACAAAATATAAAATAATAAACGGCAGTAATTTATTCACAAAATACATCATATCATGATCAGTTGTAAGACAGATAAACATGACTAAAGGTTAGAAATTTGAGTCTAATATACAATTTGAATGCATCAGATTTCCATCTACCTAAAGTTCTTATAGTTTCGGTGGACAATCCTTTCGCACTTGCATCGGTAGCGAAGCCTATTCTGAAACTATGAGGTTTGTAATATGCTCTGCTGAGCCCACAAAAGTTCAAAGCATGTTGGAATAATTGTCTAGAAACAGCTTCTCCACTGGAGTTGAGAAATAGTGGACCTCCTTTGTTTGTTCTCAAAGTTAAGTAACTTGTAAGTGTCGTTACTGCACAAATATTGTCATGTTTATTCTTAGCTTTTTCTAAATGGAATTGTTTTCCATTAGAATGTTTGAAGTCCATGAAATGGATAACTGATTTTTCGTGTAACACAACAGCTTGGCTAAAACTAATTACATGATTGTAATTTTTGTTGTTGACTGTCATCTC